TATTCAGCCAATGCGTTTTATCGCTATTGAAAAATTTAAAAATCGAACCAGATGAGAAAATAATAAAGAGTGAAATAAGTAAAGTAATCGAACAGATTACAAACCAGGATACGAACCTGTTATCAAGTAATTTATTTAAAAAAGCGCAAATGCCAAACATTCTTGTCGAATCAGAATCGAATTGTATAGAACAAATTGTTAATTAAAATAATGTATATCTACGAATAAAAAAATAAACTTATATCCTTTTATGCAAGTATATGATATTAAATCTACATAACAATTAAAAATAATAGATAAAAATAATAAAACTGTTTCAATTTTAAATTTTAATATTGCTTAAGACCCACGTCAACCGATTTGTTTGTAATCGGGCTGTCATAATGGATATTTTATCTTATATCTTTGTGTCAAATTATTATAATAGATATTTTACAATAAAATTATATTTTTACACAGTAATGAAAAAGTTATATTAAATTTATTTGGACTCTGGAAGATTTTTTTTGATGCCACTTATACAAGGCCGTAGTCGGAGATGCTTTGTGCCTAAATTATTATTTTAAACACTTTAAACTATTCAATACGACATATATAATTAAAAAATGCTGTTGAATGATACCAAATATGTAATTAAACAAGTAGAACTGGGATTTGAAACGCAAAATAGTAAAAAAATATTTTGTGTGTAGATCACGCATGTTAGAAGTGAAACCTTCAAAAAACAAAGTACAAGAAGCAAGCTAATTGTAGAGTTTTTTTATTATAATATTGTTACTATATATACCAAACTGTAAGCTTCAAAAAACCATGTACCAGAAGCAAGCTAATTGTAGAATTTATTTATTATAATATTGTTACCATATATACCAAACTGTAAACTGTTTCTACATCCCGACATGGTACTATAACAGGTGCTGAATTTTTACATTTAGATAATGTTTCTACTAAACAATTTTTATCATATTTTAGCTAGTATTAACCTCTTCTAACTTACATACCCATTAAATCACAATCAGATCAACTAATAAATTAATTAAATATCAATATGTATAAATTGTTTATATAGTAATATTTTGTTCTTTTTAATTATGTAAAAATGATTAGACACTTGTTCAATCTTTGGTTGGAAGCCATTTATTATAATATAAAATTTATCAACCGGTAAAGTATTATATTTTGTATTGGCTCAACTAAATGTTTTATTTCTTATTTTATTTTAACCCTTTTTCTTCCTCATTATTGCTCATCACAATCGCCAGAGTATTCCATGTTGAAGAAATATGCGCACAACGTAAAAATGTAGTTTAGAAAACAAAGTTATATAAAAATATATAATATTTCAATTGTATATAAATAAATAATTACGAATAAATCGGTTCATATTAGAAATATTATATATAGGTTTCTAATTAAAATAGTTGTTTTAATTAAATTTACTATTTTTAAATTAATCTTTAACTTTAGTATCGTATAATTGTAATTACGCTAATTATACAGTATTCTGGATATTATTTATGTCATAAAATCGCATGATTAAGATGAGCAGATTACGAGGCGTATATATATATAAGGATCGAGCAGTGTATAAAATACTTACCATAAGAGATAAAGCAAGACTTAGGTAGGAAAACAATATTAGAATAGATCTCAACAAAGAGATCTTCCACAGACAGAAACATTGACGGGATTTGCTATTTACAGCAATGAGCTTTCAACTTTGTAGGGACTAACACCGTTTAATAATAATGTTTAAAATGATAATAACAAAAGTTTTATGAAAAGCATGCTTTTATAAATATTTAATCAAAAACATAAATGTTTAAATATTATACTGTATATTTTTATTTAGTGGATAATTTAATCATTTCTTGAACCCATTCATCAGTCATATAATTCTTTACTGAATCCTTTTGAATACCTTCTTTTTCCTTTTCTTTTTCTTTTTCTTTTTCTTTTTCTTGTTCATCTATTTCATTGAGATATTCTTCTATATCAAGGTGTACAATCTGTCCAATTAATTTATGTATTTCACTTACTAATTTTTCTTTATATATTTCTGAATTCATGCAGGTCAGTGTCATGGATACGTATTTGCCAAAATGTCGAAAATAATCCTCCTTTGGTGGATTCAAATATGGCATGAGTTTATAAAATTCATCTGTAAAATAAGTATCATCTCCCTGTTTCTTTTTATATAAATCATTCGCCGATGCAAGGATAAATGCTTCATCTTCTAAATTGGGGGGAAATTTCTTTTTCTTTTCTTGTCCTTTTTCTTCATCTTCCTTCTTATTCTTCATAGCTTTTTCCTGAAAAACAATAATACATTATTTTTATTTTTTTTAATTAACAGAATTACGCATGTTGCTACAAAAAATATCTTTATCTATATTAATGTTCAAATATAATTCTTTAAATATCTTGAAACAAAAAAATATATGATTTAAACTACTTTCATAATTATGGGCACATGTATTTGCAAAACCTGTTGATCTATTAATATACATAGGTGATTGTTACACGACTTATCATACCAAAAAGAAGTATTACAAATTAAATGTTAAATAAAATTCATATAAATAATAGACCGTTATAAAACAACTTATTTACATTGTTTTATTCCACATTAATTCTGAAATAATAACCGTTGACGTAAGATAAATTTTAAGAAAAATTGCTGGCCAACAAAGTGTTGATAAACAATGACTTTTGATAAGAATATAATGTTATAATTTTATAATAATATAAGAGTAATAAAAACGAACTATTATTTGCTCTAATAATCTATGATTTTGATGCCACATACCTTAAAAAAATAGTTATCGATTTTGTGTATAATATAAAATCCTATGACAGTAGAAAATAAATAGAATACAATTTGCACGATTAATTTGTTCATTTCAACACATTCCATCTTCTAAAATAAATATGGTCAGATAAAAATTAACAATTAATTACGAATTCAATGAAACTAGAATAAATTACTTAATATTTAAATATATATATATATATATATATATATATATTGCTGCTTTTCTAATATATTAATTCACTACAATCTTAGACGTTATACATAAATTAAATGACAGTATTTATACGTATTTACTAATGAGTATTTCTTATTTAGAATGTATGACATTCAAAACACTGTTAGACAAACCCCTCGTGAAACAGTAAATACGTTGAGTTTTATATGTTCCCATATTGTATGAAATAATTTTATATGAAAAATTGTCTTATATTGCATGATCTATTTAATTTTAATATTTTTTGTAGCACAAATGCTTTTTTATTTGTTTATAAGGGGGGAGGAGGATTCCTTTTATTTGAAAAGCTATCTCATTCAATTTATAAAAACTAAATGTGATGAATTTATGCTCATATAAGGTAATAACTTTAGAAGCTTTGACAATTGTAACATAATACTTTACATTTTCAACTTTTCCTTCCATGAGGCAGTTTTATGTTAAATGCATATTTACACATTTTACTATTAGAATATTATTTTACATAGCTTGGCATCGAATATGTTACTTTTACTATTGCTATATATCTTCTATGTTTGTAATATAACTATATACTCGTATATACTCACACTAGGATGGTTAGCTGTTTATGTTGTTCTAAAAATATAGAATACTCAAAAAAAGAAATGAAACGAAGCAAGTGAACTTCGAAAAAACTATGAAAAATAAAATAAAATAAAATAAAATAAATGCAAAGACTTGAAACTATATAACTATATATTATAACTATATAAACTAGAAAGCTTTATAAAACAGGTAATAAAAGATATTATTTAGGTATTATGAATCATTTGCATGAGTTCATTCGAAAATAAAACGTTTTGATTTATGATAAAATAATTCATGGTTTCTATAATGCACCATCGCAGTAAAATAATTATTTATCAATTTATTGTTTAATATTAAACAAAAACAAACCATTCTACAAGTATAATATTCGCCACATATTCAACCGTATGAAACTAGGTGATTTAATCCTGGATTAAAGGCACCAATTTGATTGTTTCAAAGACAGAAGGAACGTTGAAATTAATTTACTGTAATTACGAACCATTATTTTGAATGAAAAGGAATAAATTTCAATAAATAAATTACGTTTTGTTTTATTTTAATTATTATATAATATAGGAGATCATATTATTTCTTTTTCGGTTCCTTATCTGATTACTTTTTGTCCAAAAAACATATTTTTTAAACGATGCTTTTTTATATTTCATGTTTTATGTTCTTATTTATTTTTTATTTGTAAGAACAATTATGTATATATGTATATGTTTATAAAAACTTTATTAAAATTGAAAAGAAAAATAAATTTAAAACGATAAATACACATTTTCTTAAAAAATTGTTGGTTCTTCGGTTTCTATCTGAGTAGGTTCTTTGGTTTTTCATTTCAAAAAGAAAATTAATAGATAGAATAAAACAATAACTATAAATGACGATAAGGAATCACATTCAATGAATATTAATCTTAATAATATATAAAAATGAAACATTAGTTTATTAATAAGATTCTATATTATTACTGGATTTGTCTGATAGTTCGTGCTACCTTACCAAAAAAAAAATATATTTATTCACATAATGTAATTTAAGCTTTTTATTTAAAAATAAATTATTTATATATATAAATTTTTTTTTTTAATAAATATAAAATTAAAATATACATCGATCTAATACATTTGTAAACTGAAATGAACTTTTCGAATAATTCAATATTTTTACGAAAAATTTTTCAAAAATTAATCGTAAAAAAGTTATTATTGGTCTAAACAATATCAAAGATTAGAACTCAAAAATTATTAATTCAATTTGTTATTACACATTGTTTTTTACCTTTAGTATCATATTTTTTGTATAAAAAGGCACATTTTTAAGTATTACCTTTTATTTTCATTTTTTTTTTTTTTTTGAATATTCTACTATTTCTAAATTTTTGTTTAAATTTGAATTCATTTAATTAAATAATTACTTGACAACGTAGTTTTAAGCCTGTACTTTGTCAGCATCACCATCTATTAAATTATGTATTTCATCTTCTGCAATTCGTAGGATTATTTTTCTTATCTCGTTCTTTAATTTTTCTTTATTTTCTTCTGATTTTAAACATTTTAATTCCAATGTTATATATTGACCAAATTGTTCAAACTCATTTGGAAAACTTTGATCGAATTCAGGAAGTAGTTTATAAAAATCGTCTTTAAAATAATAATCTGGCTTTCTAGTTCTCTTTAGTTGCATTAGTTCTTTTATTTTCTCTAGATCTTTAGTATACGAACTAGAAATTCGCTCACTTTCAGTTAATCTCTGAAAACAATAATATATATATATAGCTCTTTTTTATTTTATTATATTTATATTTTGTTACATTTAAATATACATACTAATCATAAACGTATAAAAGCATTCAACAGAACTCTTCATAGACAAAAGATAACAAATTATCAAACTTATATCAGGAATTTAAATGAAATGTTTTTAAAAACTACATCACAAACTATTACAAATACAAATAAAATACAACACATCAGCTTCTAAAATGAAATCGAACTAAAATTTGTATAATATAATAAATTCATGTTATATTCATTTAAAATTCAGGGAAATAACTATGTTACATAGATAAGAATCTATATCAAATGGCTCAAATAATGGCAATTGATAATATTTTTAAATTTTATCAACAAGAAACCTAAGAACAAGGGAAAAATATAATATACGATACATGTTTGAAATATTCATTTCCAATCATAATCACTAGACCTTAGTGATTAAAATTGAAAATTCATGATATAAATAAGATAGGAAAATTTGAAAAACTTTCATTTTATTCATAGTTGATTTTGCAGATAAAAATGTAAATCGTATGATTGCTGTTATCATACTTTCGAAATTATTTAGGTGGTAAGAATTAATAAATGTATATAACAGTCAACATTGGCCTTGAAGTAACCGTTAGCTTTTTCAAACCTTGACGTGATTTGTTTTGTTTTTATCTTTGTAGTGTTTGGAATAATTTCGTAATGATCGTAGAAATTTCTAATACCATGGAAGCTACGATTCAACAGATTTCAAATTTGTAAACGAAGGGTTTTCAACTTTAAAAATTCAAATTTAATATCTAAATGAAACAAACATAGAATTCTATCCTATTAATTTTAGAAGTATATTTCATTGATAAGGAAGTGTGGTAAATGTAATAAGACCTAATCGAAGAGAAATGATCCTATGTGAAATAATAAGTAAAATATTTTATATTATTACTATTTATGCTAAGTTTGGTTTTTAAAAGTTTAGATCAATATTGAAATTTGAACAAATTGAACGTTATTCCAACTTGGTAAAAAATTTCAATTTTATTATCAAATCTTATATTGTTTGCATCGTTACATTACAGGGAATTGTAAATAAGTCCATCACCCAAATTGTCTGTTTCTTAAACCAAGTAACACATGTAAACATATTCTTAATAAGAATATCAACATCAAAACGAACTATTACAACTTTGAATTATGTATAATTTCTGTGCCACTCACCTTAAAAATTTGACTATAGCCTCTTTTTATCAAATAACTAACTACGATACAGGGCAAGAAATATTGTGTATACTGTGCTAATATTTCCATTATTTGAACACTTTTCATGTTTTAACGTTGATATGATTATATAAAAATCTACAGTCAATTATAAATTTAATAACGTAGTATTCAATTAGAAGAAGAGATCTGATATTTAAATATTTCTTGTTGTTAGTTCCAATAATACCTTTAGACTACATAAGTGTATCACTATTCTAGAAATTCCATCTACATGAGATAACTTTATATTCGTATTTACCACAACGAGTTTTTCTTATTTACAATGTATGACATTCAACATAGTTAAATACTAGAACTTCGCATAAGGCAAATAATATGTTGAGTGTTGTATGTTTTCTGAGGTATAAGAAATTATTTTACTTACATAAATTAAAACGATTTTCGAATTTTAATGAATTTTCTTTTACAAAGAGAAAATATTACTCTTCAAGTGACCCTTAACTGCTTCAAACCTTAATGTGATTTATTTTGTTTTCATTATTACAGTATTATAAATTGTATGGTAATGATCGTAGTCTTCTTATACATTAGAAATAAAAATTAAATAAATTTTATATATTCTTAAAAGAAAATGTTTTTCAACTACGAGTCAAATTTAATATTGAAATAAAGCAAACTTTTAGTAAAAGCAATGAAAACTTTTAACATACGAAAGGTAAACCATTTGATTAAGATAAATGATAAATTTTAATAGTAAGGCTTATTAGATATTAAGCAACACACATAATTCTGTATTTTATACTACAAATTATTTATTAATTACGTTGTTATATAAATAGCTGAATAATACTAAATCTCAATAATAAATGAACAAAAATATAGAATATTATACAAAAACTATACAGAATATTTCAAATAAATTTAGAACATGTCTTGTTCTAAAATAAAAGATTTCTAAATATTATTTGAATATTAAATGAAATTTTCCGAATACTATTATACCAAGCAATGTGATAGTAATAATGAATAATTGTATTTGTGTTATATAGGTAAATTTTTTCAAGAAATTGTATATATTTTGGAAAATTATTTGAATGATTAATTGCTAAAAACATTAACCTGCCCAAAAAAAAATTAAAAAAAAACAGAAACATTAAGCCATAAACTTGCCTTTTTTGTCCGAATACTTTTAGAAGTCACTGTACTTTATAAACAGGAAATAAAGCAGGATAATAATAGTAATACCTGATAAATTATGATTCTATGTGAAATAATAAGAAAAATTATTATTATTATTATTATTATTATTATTATTATTATTATTATTATTATTATTATTATTATTATTATTTAGCATTAGGAACTCGAAAGTTCTTTAGCAAATACCAAATCCCACCACAATCTTCTCGTCCTTGAGCTCGACCCCTCCATTCGCGGTCTTCGTAACCGCGTATTTCATTAAAAGATCCCTTCTAATATTGTCCCCCTCCCCCATCTATGTCTAGGTCTACCTAGTGGTCTTTTTACATTCGGTATACCAACCAGTATTTTATGGGCCGTTCGATCCTCCATCATGCGCGTCTCGTGATCTGCCCATCTTTAATCATTAATATGAATAAATGTGCTTCAAAATTGTTAATATTAAACTTTTGGAACGTGATAAATCTTCCCTAAATTCATACTAATGATTTAAAAACGCTGATATATTTTATTTTATGACAAATTATGTTGATATTATCCAGGAATCTATAATTTTGGTACCATTCGTATAAAATACCAAAACAAAAGTCGCCAAAGGTTTATAACGTTTTAAGACATCATTTTTTTGGTATGTATATTGTATATTTTATATGGCAGCATATTTATTAATTTGTAAATATTTGTACAAAAAACCAAATACACTTACAACCAACTAAAATTGATCCTTAGTTTCTTTTTTCCTTCTTCATATCGAAGAAGTGTTTTTGTACGTTTCGAAGCCAGATAAGAAAGAGAAGAAAGGTGCCGACAGCAGTTATTGTGATTTATACAGGATGTTAACTTTTTTGATAGATAAATTATAATGTTATATAGGAACTTTTAAAATAAATAAGAAACAGAATAGGACAGTCAATTTTAGAAAAACTAGGACAGCTACATTCTTTGTTAACAACAAATTCTGAATAAGAAATGTATGTATAAAAAAACCATGAATGTGTAAATTATTGAAAAGTTGATGATAGCAAATGAACATAACATCAAAAGACGTTGTTAGCAAACAAAAGATTAAGAGTACAGTACTGATATACCAAGTCTTATACCAATCAGAAGGGAACATCCCATAATGTCTCCTTATAAATTGGACTTTGGAGGAAGTAAAGACGATGATGATCCAGCGTTATCTGTTGGTGGTAGATGGTAGATGATATTAACGATATCAGTGTTACAACTGTATATTTTCATTTAAAAATAAATATTTATTGATTTATACTGTTTCATAATTGTCATTAAGACATACAAATTGAGTGTTAAAAAATTGATCATTTTATTATTGAAATTGATTATGATTTTCAACCATGCTATCGATTTTTGCTTGCATGTCCTTTTTTTCTTGACCTTTCAATTTATTTATTTCATAATGGCAATTCAACATTGCTCTGTATCTAGTTAAACTATTACAACTATATGGATTAAAGTAACGGTAAAATATTTCATCTCTTAAATTCCTTTTTTCTATTTCATCATCCTTAAAATATATTTTCTTTGTTTCCGGTATCATTGTTTTCTGAAAATAAAAATATCTTTTTTTATCTTCTTATCATAATAATTTAACACGTTGCCGGACACTTTTAATTTGACGATCGTGCTCAGAAATACAAAGATATTAAGACAGCTATAGCCGTCATTTGCAACAACGTGTTAATATATTTAAATAATCAATAATTCTAAGCTCGGAAAACATTTTTCTGAGCTCTGTATAGACTTCTAGAAGTTCTAAGACTGTAAATTATCTGAATTGCACACACACACAGGTTGCTTTAAAAAAATATTTTTAATAACTATCTCAGATAAGATCACAAAATATACAGATCAGTTTCTGAAATCAAATTCAATCAACATATATAAAGTATAAGTTTACTATTGCATTTAAGATGGGAAGAGGTCACTGACATAATACTGATAGCTATATTGAACGAAAAAAAACCACTGGATAGACCGAAACGTAGATGAGAGGACAATATTAGAAAGGATCTTAAAAAAATAGGCTACGATAACCTTGATGGAAGGGTTGCGCTCAAGGACAGGAACACTGGCGGGATTTAGTATTTGCAACAATCAAGTTTCAAATTCCTAACACCAATTAATTATAATAATAATATAAAAAAACCATATTTTTTCATTATTCATTCACATTACGCTACCGCTGGCTCATATTAACAACTGAAATGAACTGGTATATAAGAATATTAGTAAAACTTCTCTCGGAAACGATTGGACATTAACCCAACTCCTAGGGTTCGTATGTATAGTTCTAATGATCCCTACAAATATATTAAATTTCAAAACAATCTAAGAAAATAGTACATGCTTTGTCCTTGTCAAATTACAGAATTAAACATTTCTGTAATAAACAGACCTGTGTGTGCTACTATAATTGTTAACATAGTTATAAACAAAAAATATATGTGAGAGTACATGACGAGTATACAAAAAAAAATTAAAGTATAATAAAACAGTTTCTTTTTCCATAAATCAATGATAATAACAAAATAAAATTTTGTAAGTATCTAATTTCTTTTGATAAATACTAATAAGAATTCATGTTTTCATTTGAAAAAATAAAAGAATCACTAATTAAGTATAAAAAATCAAAATAGCTTATATTTAATTAGTAATTTATTTGATTTGTAAAGCTTAGAAAAATATTCTATGGACGGCATAAAAATAAGAATAGATTTTCCGATTTTCCATTTCTTTCGATGTACTATAAATAGTTGCTCACAAAAAATATTCGGACATTTCAATATGGTGACTTTTTTAGCTTGATACTTTTATATAGACATGTTCTGAAATAAAATTATTTATATATCCGTATAATATACGTCGCAAGTTTTTTCAATAAATTTTATATTTGTTTAAAAAATAACTGAATGATTTATTGCTAAAAACAATAATGTTAATATAATTACTTTATAACCAAAATTAAACCCTCAATGTAACTTTTCTGCCCGAATATTTTTAGAAGTTACTGTTTCTATATAAACAAGATAGAAGACGACATTAATAGTGATATTTGATAAATAATAATTTTGATAAGGGTAATGTATATATTTCGGGCATTATATAGAATGACCATATAAATAGGACAATGTTTATATATATGTCAGCAAATGTTTCACAGATTGCTTCGTCATTCTATTGAATGCCCAAAAGGTTTCATCCATTTTATGGAATATACTTCCGCGTGATGTGTATAGGACGCGTATAGTGATTTCAATCTATTATAAATAAAAAAAAATGAAAATTTAAAAATATCCTACTCGATCAGGCTTTATATACAATGCTGACAATAAAACATTGCCGTAATAATTTTACGTGAAATAATAATAAAAATATTTGATATACTCTTTGTTCTTTGTTCATCTAAGGTTTCGTTTTCGGGAGATTTCATCAATATTAAAGTTTGAACAAATAAATATAATTTGAATTTGTATTATTCTGACCGATTGTTTTAATGTAAGAAAACATTAATAAATAAAAACAGTTATATATGATTAGATTTTGTATTTTTAAATTAAATTTGCGTTATTACGTTACAAATATTTCTGTAACATATTCACCATTATTATATTTTTCCCAAAGCAAGCATAATATACACGATAAAAAAATCGTTTAAAAATTTTTCAGTAATTTTATATTGATGAAAACGGACTATACGATCCCTTATTACACGTAATTTCAAATTCCACTTACCTTTTGAATTGTAGCGTAGAGATCTTTCATCATTAGAAAATTAATAGTAAGTATAAATAATAATATAACCAAAATCAGGGAGTATACATCACCAAATTCCATGTTTAAAATAAAATATAGTCAAACAAAAATTAATAGATTTTTGCTGATTAAAAATATATGCAGAATAAAATTCGAAATTATAAGATATTTAAATATTTTCCGTTACTACTAGTTCGAACGCTACCTTTGAAATATACAAATTCCCTACTATTCAAAGTAATTTCTTACAAGTTAGATGACTCTATATATATTTAGCAGCTCGTCAACTATTCTTACGCCACCTCGCGACAGTCACAAGAAATAGCTGCTAATCTATGACCATGTTAGTAGCGGAGTATTACCACCAGTAGCTAATTTGTCCAGCTTCCTATTAGTCCACACATTCAGTTGGTTCACACCCATTTGTCCATTTGGTCACTTGTAAACTCACTTATTATTTCATTTACATTTATTTTTTCGCTCATGACAGGATACATTTTTGACAAGTTTAGTTCAAGGGTTAGTATCTTACCAAAAAAAAAAAAATCTTTTAGTGTAAAAATTTGGATATGAATATAATAAAGATGACAATATTATAGCAGAAAAAAAAACAAAAATGCGTTCAATTAATAAAACAAACAAAAATTTTGTTAATTTTATCATATCAGAAAAAACATACTAAAAGAGAAAATAATAGTAATATAATAATATTTTTAGCTCTACATAAATACTTTCCTGCTCAACATCAAGATCAGAAAGATATTTTAATGTTGGCATCATAACAATATTTTTTAGAACTCAGTCTAAAGATAACATTTAAAACAATACACATGAAAAAGGGTAAAAATTTATGAAACTAATTTCTTATATGTAAATATATCAGGAACGTATTGTAATTTAAATTGTGTTATTAATGCTACATTGTGCATATGATATTATTTCAGTATGACAATTATATGTTATATATTCAGTCTGACAATTCTACTTAATGAATTATGCATTGTTATTACTATTTAATTATTTTAAATAATTATCAAAAGTATTATATCATTTTTATAGATATGATCTCAATACAATAACAGTGCTGAATTAAAAAATACAATGGGTCAAACTTTATGCGAACCAGTGACAACTAAAAAATCAGCATGTTGTCGAAATTACAATTACTATGTGGGTAGTTCTTGTATGCAAGGATGGCGAATAAAAATGGAAGATTGTCATGTGCATATCCTCTCTCTACCAGATGACCCAGGCACTGCTTTTTTTGCAGTATACGATGGTCATGGAGGTAATAATATTGTTCTATTTTACTTAAGTGACATACAATAAATAAAAGTATAGATTTAGGTAAGATAATTAACCCTTAACGCTCCGACGGTAATTTGTGGTTATCTACCAGCAACTTCAACTTGTTCTACAATTGAAATAAAGCTCCGTACATCGGTGGTGCCTGGGAGGCACACTTGGAGCGTTAAGGGTTAATATATTCAATTTAAATTTAATTTTAATATTTGTAGAATGATATGAAAAGTTATTTGCATTCAAAGTTAAAACTAATAGGTGCAGCGATAGCTCAAGATGCTGGAAAGTACCTTCATCGATACATCGCTAAACGAAGTGAGTATAAGGCAGGAAATATTGTCCAGGCTATAGAACGAGGTTTCTTGGAATTGGATAAAGAAATGCAAAATGATGCAATACTTAGAGAAGAACAATCAGGAACTACTGTTATTGCACTGCTCATCAAAGATAATATTTTGTATAGTGTAAGTTATTATAGTTTATGAACTATTTGCAATATATATTTATCTAGTTTTTTAATTCACACATAAATATTTTGTATTGTGTTTAGGCTAATGCAGGCGACAGTAGAGCAGTAGCAAGCATTAACGGGAATGCAGTTCCACTTAGTCGAGATCATAAACCTACATTGAAAGACGAACGTGAAAGAATTGAGGCTGCAGGTGGTTGGGTCGAATTCAATCGTGTTAATGGTCACCTTGCTTTATCCCGTGCTCTTGGAGACTTCATGTTTAAACGTAACAGTTACTTGTCACCACAAAAACAGATTGTAACAGGTAAGAATTATTATAAATAATTGTAATAATACAAATAGGACATATTTAAATGCATAAAATATGTTCTCTAGCTTTTCCTGAAGTCCAACAATTTCCTATAACAGAAGATTGGGAATTTGTTGTCTTAGCATGTGATGGAATTTGGGATGTAATGACGAGCGAGGAAGTAGTCAATTTTGTAAGGTCTCGCTTAACTTGGCCAAAAGTTGTAGGAAATGAAAGGGAAAGAGTTATGGATCCTGAAGAAATATGCGAAGAATTAATGAATTACTGTCTTGCACCAGATGCTTTAATGGGTACTGGATGCGACAATATGACAGTTGTATTAGTGTGCTTTCTTCACGGGAAACCATATGAACATCTTGTTTCACGCTGTCAAAAATCTAGTACAAATTCTTAGTCATTTACAGATTGGTATATTGATATTTCTTCCTTTTCTTTATCTTTCTCACTGTAACAATTGTTATTTTTTTGAACTATCGTCACTATCATCATTATCTTATGACGCAATTTCTTTATATCAAAACTTAAGTGTTTATTAAGGAAGTATTGATGTTACGAAGTGGGGATGAAAAAACGAAAAGGTTGAATTTTTAAGTATAAGCATCTTTCTTTTTTTTTTTTTTTTGTGAAAAATTTAGAGGCCTCTGTTGTAGATATATTAATAGATCTATTTAAATAACTATAAAATTTACTAATTGCTTTTATAAAAACATTATCTCTGATTTTAATGTAAATTTTAACGTCTTGAAATTATGCTTTTTCCATGTGTAATCATATGAATTCCATTATGTACACAATTATGGATTCTTCAAGCCACACTTTTGGAAAATGCCGCACAGCAGCTCAATTATAAGCTTTTATTTACAATCTGAAGAATGGACGAGAAATATTCTAATATAATTTGAATAACAATCACAATAAAAGATTGTAAGATTTTTATATTTAAAGTCCATAACGGTCTTGTATAGAAGAAACTGCTGCATTTGCAAGAGAACTAAGTCTTCCTGCAACTTTATTTACACCTTGACGTACACTTTCGCGTACATCGTCCAAATCAACTACACCAGCACGTCCTCCGCTAAAGCGAGCTGATAAAGAAGCAGCAGAAGAAGTCGGTGAAGAATCTCCTGTGCCAAAATAATCTGCCGATGATATACTGGATGAGCCTTCAAAGCGACGAAGGTTACTTTTACGTTCCCACTATGAAACAATAAAAATTATAACAGATAAAATATATAATAGAGTCAAATTTTTATCATAATAACGTTTATTTTTACTTACTGAGTCATCATAATTACTGTCTTGAAAATATTGATCAGAACTAATAGCTTTAGCGCTACCAAATTTCTTTTGAGCTTCTCCTTCATCTGATGTTTTATTGTCACTTTTACTATTATTTTGACGACTCACAGGTGGTTGTCGTTTTGGTGGTTCCGGTTCTGCAATAACAACTACTTCTTCGCTTTTAATTTTGTTACTATTGTTATTAGGATATGGAATCGATAAAGCTGTATAAAATTCATCCAAACTCATAAACAAATCACCAATAACATCAGTATTTTTTGATCTAGGTTCAGCAGCTGTAATATTTTTGGATGAAGATTCTTGAGTTATTGTCTTCATATCACCTAAAGCCGAATGACTTGCACCACTAAAAAAAAAAAGTAATCATTTATATTAGTGTAGTAGTATCTTTAAAAATTCCAAATAATTTCATATTATTATAATAAGTTGATAAAAATACCTGCGTGCGTTGAATCCTATTCCAAGACGTTCTGCCTGACCAGCCTTTGATGGATTTAATTGTTTCGTTCGTTCTTCCACTTTCTTAGCTTGTTGACTTAAATTTTGCTCATAACGATAAGCAAATCGTGTCGCAATTTCATCTCGTTTTTCCTTTGTTCCTTCATTTCCTACCGTCTCATTTACTTCGTTTCCTACTTCTACGACACTTTTTTCTAATTCATCAAAATTAGTTTTGACTCGTTGTGCTCCTAATCCACCAGCTTTTTTTCCAAACTACGTACAAATAATATAAAATGATCATTTATATCTAAAATTAAGTTTGAACTGTAATATATCACATTTAAGTAATATACTAGTGCTTACACCTGGTCGTTTAGATTGAACTTTCCTAACACCAATAGTAGACTTTCTTTCAGATTGTGCAGATGAAGCAGACTCTGATAGTCTTACGGATGGCCCTACAGTATTAAGAACAATCTCCGAAGATGCACTTGTTTCATCTTTCTTTACATTTTCTTTGTTTACTGCAGAATTAGATACAATTTTTTCTTCTGTTGTAATGTTAGGTTCATCAGAATTTAGATCAAAATTTTCATGTTCTTGGAAGAAATCCACTTCTTTGGATTCTTCTGTGTCCGGTTCCATATTCTCCTCTAAGTGCAACTGCACATAAAATTATTATTATAAAACATACTGGTGTAATCGTAATTATTTTAAACACTCAACCTCATACAGGAACATATAATGCAAGCTCGTCTTAAACTACTGCAATAAGCATATGTTTTGGTCACAAACATATGATATGAATTTACATATATTTTAATGTGAAATGAATAAACATTTATATAAAATGTAACATCTCAAATGCATGAATGAATCAATAATTTAAATGTTGTTGAGAGATGTATATAAAATTAGACAATATCTTTTTTGTAAGCAATCTTTTTTCATATTTTCTTTTTTTTCAGAACAGTGTTAAGCAAAGATTAGTAAAATGAAAATAGTGCTTTGTGAAAATGTTTTCACAGCTCACCATTGTTTTATTTTGTGTTGGAGGAAGAAAAACCTACAATTTGTATATTTTCATTTATAACTATTTCACTGGATGGTGGTACCATATGTCAATTACTAACAAGTTAAAAAAATTAAAATTCTTACTTTTGTTCCATGACGTCGCATTGCAAGTGCAGATGCCAGTGCTAATTTGTCTTTATATTGCATTGCAACACGAGAATTATACTTCTGTTGGGCATCCGTTGTAATACAATTATGTTCAGCAAAATACTTTCTCTGTGAAACATAGGAAAGAAGTATATGATTAACAAAAATACAATTTTATGACAGATACAAAATAAAAGTAAATCAAAATAGTAAGAGAAAGGTACTAACAGCATTAGCATTTCCACCTAATTGCATATTCCTTAATTGTAACCAAGTCCAATTTGTATCAAGCTGAGTTGAACGTACAAATGTCAAATGTACTCCTAAATTCCGATGAACAGCAGAGCAATCGATGCAAAGGAAAACTCCATAAGTCACACTGGACCATGCTGGATTCTTTGCATTGCAATCGAAACATGTCTATAACGATTAATTATTGCCATTTAAACGTTTATTTAAAAATAATTTATAAAATTATTAAACAAAAGAATAATTTTCATTAAACACAATACAAAAAAATTAGTTTATTAATGTTAATATTCTTCTTCTTATTATTATTTTAAATTTATAATTTCGATAATTACTATAATCATCAAATAAGAAAGTGAATATTCAGAAATAATAACAGGTTGGGGACATAAATAAAACGTGTAGTGATTTAAATAGATTTAATTATTTGAAAAACTACACATTGCTATATATTTCTTTTCTTAAATACAATTGAAAAAGAATATTAATCAAACCTTATTAGCTGGAATTGCACGTAATCTTTTAAAAATGTCTTCAATATCGCTCCTACTTGGACCAAATTCTGCCATTTTTTGACGTGTTGTCAATGACGTTGCAAAGAGTTGTGGGGGAACGATGAAAACGGTCAGTGTCTTTTTGGCGCTGTTATCGCTTTATTTTAAATTATATATTTACACCGTATATATATCATATAATTTTATATATATATGTATGTATAATTTGAATTTATAATATTTACATATACAATTCTAATATAAATATACAAATATAAATAAATAAAAAAAAATAATAAAACATCAATATTTACATTTCTATGTTATTAATAAATATTAAGTTAATCGTTATTTTTAAAAAAGTTGAATAGCAAATCGTAAATAAACGATTTCTTTATCTTCAACTTTATTATTTTTTTTTCTCAGCAGATACATCTGATCTTCCTACATTTGGTGAATCGCTTACATTAACTTCTTCTTCCTCTATTTCCAAACTGTTCAGTCTATGTATTCAAATAAGAAAATACATTGTATATTATCTAATTAAACAGTGTATTTCTCTTATTGTATACACAATATTTAAAAAAGAATAGCTTACTCATCTTGTTCTAGACTGTAAAGCATTTGAAAACCGGCATCAAGACTAGGAGGAAATCCCATATCTGGATCTAATAGTTGAAGAGTTGGTACTTCACGATAAACATTACCAAATTCATCTAATTCATCTAATTGCAATTTACTAGCTGCTTCATCCAAAACTATTCTATAAGTTAAAGCCAAAATAATAGTATTGAAATTATGATTCAATTTATTATTTGAGCCGTTCACAGGCCGAAGATTAACTCCACTTTTTTAGAATTTTGTAAAATTTTATTACCAAAACACTTGATTATTACAAATATAAATTTTCTTAATAATTATGCTTAACATCACTAAATGACAAGGATTTTTATGACCAATTAAAAATAACTAATATAATAATGTACTTCATCAATTTTCTCTCCTTTTTATTTTGTCGAGTTAATTGATTTGGCAAATGAGTGGCTCATCTATAGTTCACAAAATTACTCGATATAAAATTTAATTTACCTTTGTTTTTCCATCATTATTTCAACCTGTGTTTTCATATTTTCTTCAAATCTTAAAATATATTCCTGATAATAATCATGTATAGCTGTTATTCCACCTATTCCTGTTTCTAACAAGACTCTTTCCATGGCATCCTGAAATAAAATATATGTATAAAATATAAAATTATTATATTCTCTTAAATTGATTATAATTATTTTACTGGGAATCCATGATCTTCTTGTTCAACAGCTTCTTTCAATAGAAGAGTCATTCTTCTCAAAAAATGATCAGCAATGTCAGTAAGCATCTCTACTGCTAGATCCGATGAGAATTCAAAACCAATATGAGCTAACAATACGATAACTGCATGTCTCAACAAGTTATGCGCTGTTTTTGGTGTTAAATGGTGAACAGTAGAAGAATTCTTGAATGTATCTCTAAAAATATAATTTCAACATATAACTCAAATGTGATAAATTAATATTATTACTTAACAATTATATACATACGTTTCAACATTTGCAGGTAAGAATCGAAAAAGATTAGATGGTACTTTAGATTCTTCTTGAGAATCTTCTCCATCGATCACTGATAAATTTTCTAATACTGTTCCTTCATCCTATTTAAAAATAAATTATATAATTTAAATCACACCGCTATGAAATATTGATTATTTAAATAGTTTGGTTACTTACCATCAATCTTAATTGTTGATGAAAGTTTATTGTATTTAATACATGAAGATTTCCTATAGGAAGTCTAAACAGATGATTGTTTGATATTATTATATAATATTAAAATTATACTTTACATCTTAGTATTATTTCAATATATTCTTACGGTATATATTCTGGTTGACGATCAATCTGATAATCACAATCAGTATTATTTGCTTCATCCATAACTTGTCTCCAAACATTTTCTATAATGTCTGGTGTAATTACTTCTTGTTTCCAAGTTTCTTTAGGAGGCAATTCACCCCACAAAACTGGACTTCCATGAGCTTTGCTAGATTTCATCATTTCCTAACAAAAATATTTTCATTAATATACATTATTATAACATATATATATAAATTTGTATACTGTACAATACTTGTACAATTGTACAAATACAATACTATACTATACTTGTACTGTATACAGATACACAGTATATATATAATAAAATTAAAAAATATACATAATAATAATATATACAAAAATTAATGGACATTTTACAAATGTATTATCATCATACAAATAAATTATGGACATTTTAATTTTTTGTAATATTTTTTATAATGAAACAAAGAACAATGAATAACGTACCATATAAAAAACTATATTCGAAATAAGAATAATAACAATATAGTATTGATTCACTCTATATTAAAATATCCCGCGTAAAGTGCTGAAACTTCAGATAATGCAAACTACAATGTTATTGCATTAACCTAGCAGAAAATATGCACGTAAAAAAAAGTATTATTTACAAAATACTTCAGCTTTATCTTGCACCGTAATGATAACTTTTCCTTCTCGTGATAATATTTCCAATGCAATGCAAAAACAACACTTAACCGTATGCGTTACTTTATACGATTCGAGACGTAATTGTGAATTGTAATAGGTTATAAAATCCATGCGACGCGTTTTGTTCGTATTTTATTGTTTGTTCTGAAGGTATTACTTAAAAAATAAATATCGATTTTCTCGATTATCGATATCGCTTGACAATTATAATAATAATGCATATGGATAAAAATAAAGGTAAGCAAGTAATTGTTTAGAGAAAAAATAGCAAATATATATATAAATTATTACGTATACTGCATTATAACATTTTATATTTATATTTCAAGGATTATAATATTAAACAAGTAAAGGAATTATATGGTTAATAGAAATAATGGAAACTGCAGCAGCTTCAATTTTGAAACGAGCAGTGGAGAAAGATAAAGAGGAACAATATACAATGTCCCTTGTATTATATCAAGAAGGTGTACAAATACTTCTAGATACTATAAAAGGTTTGGACTATAATATAACAATTTCATACATATACAGGGTAATAAAAAGAAAAAGTACAATATTTTAAGAGGTTACAGTACTTATCAAGAGGAGTAAATTAACTTTAATTGTCTATGGGTATTCAATATTGTAAGGAAGTTTCTTAGCAATGTATTGAATGTTGACCTTAAAATATTGGGCCCTTTTTTTACCATCCTGTATATATAAATATTTTAAATATATTTTTTATCATGCGTATTAAATTCTTGTAATTAAGAAATTAGTAATAAAATGTAGAGACACAGGACCCAGTTAAAAACAAACATTTTACTCTTATGGCATCGAAATACTTGGATAGAGCGGAGAAGGTAAAGCAATTAGTTGAACAGAAGAAAACACTAGGTACATACAGGGAATTAATAAAGATTAAGGATGGTGCAACCGGTTATGGATATAATAGTCTTTTTGGTAGATTTTTGGATGCTATGGTTACATTCATTCAGATAGAAGATCCATATATAAGAACGTTTCATCAGGTATATTAATGTTTAATATTTAACTTTTTAACCTGCACACATTGAAGTTAATTAAAGTAAACGAAAGTGGCTAAAATGTGTACACTCAAATTAACTCTGACAACATTATATTTCATATTGTCATAATGTACATGCTCAAATAAATTTAAGTAATAAACATTAATTTCAAGTAAATCATTATATAGAAAAAGAATTATTATTTTAGTATATTTAGGATATTATATTTATATAATATAATAAACATATATATATATATATTACTGATTACTTTGTTTACAGTGTCAAAATCTAGTAAGAATGTGTGAGTTGGCAGTTCAAAAATGTCATTCTTTATCAAAAATATCTCTCATTACTACATCTGATCCAGATGATTCTAAAAATCAATCTAAAAGGCTTGAAGAAACGAAGCAGAGCCTACAATCTCATCTTGTATCATTTGAAATTACGTATTCTGATACATTACATGATAGACAAATTATGTAAGATACTTACTTATTTTAATTTGATTAAATATTTGGTAGAATGTATATAATATATCTAATATATATATATATATATATATATATTCACATATTTTTTTACAGACTTAGCAATGGATGGATAATAAAGATAGGACGTGGTTTAGATTATTTTAAAGCACCTGCTGGAAAGTTTGCTTTGGGTTCTTGTGATCTTGAATTAAGATCATGTCAGGAAACTACAGTAGATATTTTTCATAGTAGTCAATTAAATGCAAAGTAATTATGAAGTAAGGTATGAACATTGCAGACTGAAAAATTGTTTTCTTTTCAAACCAGTATTAATGTTTAGATCAGAAGAAATGATAGAATCTTTTTCTTTTCTTTCTAAGAAATGGTGACAAACTTTGACTAATAGATTTTTATTCTTAAACAAAAAAGTTTTTCTTTTTAAGAATTTAATTCTATTTATTTACATTTTATAAGGGTTGTTTATATTCTATTATATGAAATTCTTTGGTCGCGAGCGGATCAATGGGGGATGCTTTTTATATTTTTATCAAAATTATAATATATCATTTATTCATTTACATTATAAACAGTTATATTTTATAATAATTATTTAATATTGCGAAGTATATTAAATTTTTATTCGATATGATTTTTTTTTAATTACTATAAATTACATATATATCATTCTTGTTTTGTATATATATATATATATATATATATAAATATGTAAATATATTCATTTTTCTGTTTATAAAACATTTACATTATTTACAAACTTTTTTCAGCCATTTGTGCTTATAATTAAATGTATATTGAAAATTGATTTGTTCATTATCCAAATCGATTAATTCCATAAAATAAAAAATAGAGAAAATTGATAAAGTTAAAAATACTATCGCATAATTTATTATTCAATAGACAACCCCATTTTGTTGTTAAATGGTTTTACAAAGTTAAGCATCAATTAAGTGCTTTGGTATTAAAATTTAAAAAGATCTTAAAAGCGGAGTCAATCGAATTGGCCTGTGAACAGCTTCAATTAATTCAATTAATTCAATTAATTAAAATAATCGTGCGCTCTCGCTACATCTATTTGTTTCACAGCTTTTTTGCATGCTCGTCTTAAAGATTTTGTATACTTTAGAAGTCCAGCTTCTATTTGTTCCTCATCCTCGGTGAGAAGAAAGTTAACGTCATACGTGGGAAGACAATCGGCACCACCAACTGCAACTACTTGTCTCGCTATTTCTGGATCTACGCAAAGTCTTATCAAAGCAGCTGCAGCTGTGGTCTCTAAAGTTTGATATGCAACGTCCAAACCTGGAGGTCTCATTCTAAGGAAACAAACTAATGCAACAGATGCTCGTACTTTAGCCAAATATTCACGAGCTTCTGGTAAACGTGCTAATTCATTAATAAGAGCAGCCACTTGCTGCATCAACCAAACGTTTCCTCCATTTGATTTTTTTACGCTTTTCAATAGTTTCTTAACTGTATCTCGTTTTATTATAATATCAGCGCATTTTCTGGATTTAGATATTTGATTTAGCGCAGCAGCTGTCAACAATAACGTTTGTTCCGAACTAACATTTTCAATAAGATTTCCTAAAGCAATAATTAATGTATCCGCAAATGGTTCAACATGTGGTAAGCCTACAGCATTGGTCCATGGTGCAGTTATTTGTACTATTAAAGCTGTAGCTTCCATTTTATTGATTTCCGAGGACGTTTGACTGGACAAGAGGTCAATCACGATTTCCGGCCCGTCATCTTTAACGAAGTGCTCAATTGCTGTTCTCGAACAGCACACGCTCGAGAGAGCGCGTAGAGACGTAGCTACGTAATCATTTGATTTCCTAATGGCAGAAATAAGATAAGTTAAGAGAGCCCTAATTCCTGAGCATCTCGCGATACTACTGCCCGCTCGAGCTCCAGCTAAACCTAAAGCAGTGAGAGCTGCTAAAGCCCCTCTAGCCACGCTACTGTCTTCCTTCGGTGCTTCTTCCAAACATCTTACTATTTTCTGTAAAAATAATTATCGTTAATAATAAAACGAATAAATGTTTTTGTATAGGTTCTATTTAACAAAAAAAAAAGGATGACAAACCTCAATATAAAAATCTAAACGAGTATTAATGGCACTATCTACATAATCTTTCATGCTTTCTAATTGCATGACAATCCCCTTTAAATTCGTTTGTTGAATTCTTCGAGGTGGCGGTGCTCCTAATTTCGATAAGACTAGAAAAGCGTTATCTTCGATGGCACGTAAAAGCTCCATTTGTGATCTACCATTTTTCGAATGCGATATCTCCCTAAAAATATAGATTGTATCGTGTTAACTTATTTAACGAATTAGTCGAACGTTATTACTTTTAGAAATATTACAAAATATTCTTACTTTAAAATATGCTGATAATGACGTGAAAATTGTTCAGCTCTCACGAGAAGTTTGCTTGCAGCAGCCGTTGCCAAAGAAGATAATATCTTCAAATCTTTCATTTGATCCTCCTCGGATATCAGTTCATTGTGCTTTCGTCGTGGTAAACTCTTACTTTGAAGAGCGATATAACATTCGTTCGACGTTTCTGTTGTCAGGTCATTTAACCAAGTCTTTACTGGCGGTGCAATCTCGCCATCAATGTTCTTACAAATATTGACGAATATATCGTACGAGAAATTTGTTGGAAGTATTTTTGTTACTTTCGTAGAATTTAATGATTCATCTTCTAACGAGCTAGATGAAAGACTAGGCAAACCACTCACCATGATCTTCGTTCTGGAAAAAAAAGAGATCATTCATATTACGAACACGCCTACGTTAATTATTATACTTTTGTTATTTTATCTTGTACAATAGACTCCCGTAAAATGTGAGTTTTTAAAGTACAAGTTTCTGTATACAACGTGCTTATAATTTCCAACTATTTTATTTTTCTATAATACGATTTCTCATTATAACGCGGAATAATATTAAACGCGGGAATCCCCGCATTTAAAAAGTTATCTTTATCACTACCAATTTCTTCTTCATTATATTTTAGTATTATTACAAAATAAGAAGTTTTATTAATATTTATATTTAATATATAATTTTTTATAAATTCATTATAAATTATCTCGAAGGAAATATATATTTCCTAAAACGTGAATTCATAGAACGCTTGACATATTAATCGCGTTATCCGGAAGTTTAATGTATTCTCTTATCTTTTTATTTTTATTTCCAAATACTACATTAAATGAAACATAATGAAATATGTTAGAATTTTGAAATCTCATAATATAACAAAACCATTATATTACTTTCGTTCGATAAGATACAGAAATACTTTCGATTTTTTGTCCGTCTTCCGGGATAATGGATCAAAGTAGAGAAGCGATAGTGAATAAAGACTGACTAATCGACCACCTCCGGAACTGGAATTTTCTTCTGAATAGGATGACTAATCTCGTTTCTTATAAAGAGCTATGCAGCTATACGATCACACCTGCACCCGTTCTGTATTCGCATATATTACTTCAAATTCTTTTGAGATACGTTGTCCCTCGAAATGAGATGATCGAAATCAACTTTCTCATTTTTTTCTTTTACTCACATTCATATGTACCGTGACATATTCAATTTATATACGATGTATTATACTAAACATTAAAGCAGTTAAAGTAAATCGAGCTGAAAAGGAAAAAAACAATATGCGTGTCGAACGACGTCATAACATCGTTTTTATCGAAAAAAAGTGACTCAATGTTAATCTCGTAACATCCTACGGATGAACAAATCATTTTTTTTCCCCCTCTAAGAAAATTAATCATCATTTACGTTGATATTCTTTCTTGTAGCGAATATATTGGATTACCCGCGCGGAAAGTTTATTTTCTATTATTTTATTATATACAATTTATATTTTTATATGTATATAATTAAATGAATATAGACTTCGTAAGAAATTAAAATTTATATTGATCCTTAGAAAATGTTCCGTTCTTCTTTAGACTGACAGAGTATCTCTGTTATTTGTAACTTCATAGAAGGCAAGACCTTCCGTATTATGAGACAACTTGTGCATATAAAGTATTCCTCGGCTATACCGGAATATTAAACATCAATGTCAGTAGGTGGATTGTTTTTTTTTTACTCGCACCGTACGTGTCTTTTGGTGTATCGAAAGAGATTACGACATGCCTATCAATGCGTTCAAAGATATGATGCGCTACTTTCAATATAGCTTTAGAATCGATAAATGTATATACTTACCCCTAACAAATAATATTTATCTAATAATTTAATTCAGTATATCGCGAAAAGAAGTTATACCACACAAAAGACGTATACACTTGCATTCATACACTCGTGCAATAGTATCTATTTACGAAAGCCATAAGAATAATAAGGTGAAGTTCATTACGCGTCACATTCCTATCGGTTTGGCTCACCATAGGCATATCATCGCAACGATTCACTCTTCTTTCATAAAACCCACACATTCCTTATGTCTTATCGTTAATGAACAAATTTCAACATATCAAATAAATTTATTAATGATTTTTTAATTTTCAAATTTCATAGCATTCATTAAGATCGTAATGCACTTTTATTTCATATAATTTGGTAGATATTAGACTATTTAATATATTTTCTAAATCTCTACCATTTTTTTTGTTAATAAATATTTGAAAAACATACCTTTCGTCTCGTTGAAAATGTCGTATTTTGGAATCTTTTGGAGTCGAAGTACAAGTCGGTCGTGGTATTAAATCCTTTCCGAGCCATAGCGGACTAATTTTATGTCGAATTCTATGATTTCTTTCTTTAGCTTTTTTACGTCGTCGTCTACGTCTCTGAGGACTTTCGTCTTCTATAGTCTGCGAGCAATTAGATCGTTCGGAATCGGAGAAACCAGAATCTAAACTCTTCAAATCCTGACTGAGAGGACTGAGGGATCTGATCTCTGAAACTATGGTGTTTCCTTCGTTTTCTTGTGTACCATTATTAATATCCATTTTTTTTCTACAAATAATATTAAAAATTCTTATTGTATAAAAAGAAATGTCTTTCGTTGTCAGTAGATTTCACAATACATGTATATAATCAATTTTCACGACTTACCCTTGAATTATTGTTGAATTTTCTTTACAGATCGATACATCATTGAAGGTCTTATCTTGTTGCGATTCACTAACTACCGAACAAACGTGTATGACAGTTACATTATCAACATTAGTGAAATGACTTTCGCGTAAACTGGAGGATTGATTTTCTTCTTTTTCTTCTTCGTTTTCTGAAGGATAATCTGTATCAATAGGAGGAGGAGGAGGAAATTGAAGTACCTCAACGGGATCTTTTCTACGAATCGTCGAATTTTTCTTTAAATCCTGCGATGACATTTGTTCCCAAAATACTTTGCTTTGATATCTCTTGAAGGTATTCATTTTGTATTCTTTTTTATTTTATTTTTGATTAATTCACTAAATCTTGTCTTATTTTTTAATTTTCTTTTCTCATAACGAAGAAAATACAAAGTTTATATAACGTGTATTGTCGTAGAAAAAAGAACCACACAGAAGAATAAGAAAAGGTATTAATAAATAAGGTATCTTCCTTCTTAGCGCGTGCCAGCAGTGGTCACAGTTCACTATTGGTCTCTTCGTTGGATGCACAAGGGTGGTTTCACGATTCAACAGAGCGGAACAATGGTTCTCCCACGGGTCGCCTGGTCTCAGGACGACACCTGATGGTTTTTTCGTTTGAACCCCTATGAAGAGTACTCCCGTTAACCGTGCATTTTAAGAACAAGACAATCGTTAACACTTTGAAAAATTTATTTTTCGATCTTCTTGTAATGTTTCAAGGTTGTAAAAAGAATCCACATTTCTTTTATTACTTTCTTTTATATTTTTATTTTTTATTTCAAATAAAAATATTTCCGAGCATACTTAAATCAACAGAAGGATAAAATTGAAATGAGGAAAGTCGTCAAGTCTAAGCGATACCGATCACTATGCGTTGATGTGCCGCAAACGACTGACTCCGATCGAGTTGCTTCCGACTTCTCCGCCTAACTCGATACGCCTCCCTTTTTCGTCCTCGCATAAGCCAAGTAGTTTGTGAGACTGGAACTCCTCCCCTTCTCTTTTGTCGCTCTTCTGGGGTGCGCTACCATTCTCTCTAATTCTTTTTTCTACCCCCATCCATGAATGTTCGTTTACTCCCAAGCTGTATGTATTGGTAGCACATTATGACCGTTAAACCATAAATTCTTTTCATTTATCGCATAATCGATATTCATTATCATAAATTTTTTTTTCTCTTTATAATGTATAAAAGTAAAATAAAATAAAACTTCATTATAAACGTTTTTATTTTTTTATAGGTTGACAAATTATCTCCTTTAAGAAGATTATATTGATAAAAGTAATATAAAGATAAATATTACTATCATTTCATAACGTTTTATTTATCATCGGATTGCATCGAATACTTATGTACATACTTATATATATATATACATACGTATGCATCACATTCCTTATCGTCGCTTGTCCTACGTAGGTATATGCGTGCGTGCGTGCGCTCGTGCGTGAATGACTCATCCATGGGGCCAAAAGGGGGACGAAACATGCATCACCATGGGCATTTTAACACAGATGCCCCGTACGGCGCGTGCCCTCGAACCAATACGACGCCCCTATGCATAGCTTCCGCAACGGCAACCACGTCTGCACGAGTCATTTTCTCTACGACCCCCTCTGGTTTTTTAAAAGGGGACAGAAAACGAGAATAGTGACACCTGGCCCTTAAAAGTTCTCTCTCCATTGGCGTGATTTTTTGACGCTTTGCTAGACTTTATTATTTACATGCTGTGTATATATATAAATACGTATGTTTATTACTGATACTCAGAAAATTGGAAATTTTGCACTCTTTTTTGTTGCGAAACCTTGATTTTATTTTTAATACAAATGAAAAATTATATTTTCTGTTTCATTTAAATATAGAAATAAAATAAATAAAATGTTTGAATATTTTACAGATACTCTTTTGTAATTTTCGTCTTCCGCTTCTTTCATACTTTTTAAAAAGAATAGAAAAACCAGACTGGTTTGCTTTTTGTTTCCAAAGTTTTGAAAGTTACAAAACTGAAAGATAAAGATATTCAAATGTCTAATTGATTCTTTTTGACCATTCTATCGAATAAGTCCATCTTACCGGTATACTTTATTCTATTGTTTAGTTTTGAAAGGTATACTAAGTCCATATGCAGCTATGTATTACACATACAAAGGTATGCTAGCGCTTGTACAACCCCTATTGTACTTACTTACATACATACGTGCCGTGAAATCGAAGGGACAGCTGCAGATAGACCGTTATTTAAACGCGTGCTCTCGTCCAGATTGATCGTTAAGCTTTTAAATTTTCAATATGACTAATGTTATATCTTTAAAAGCTTTAATAATTATTTTTACGATCTTTATAAACAGACTAAGAAGCAATACAAATGTATATATTGTAAATATTATTTATTCTAAAATTTGTATGCATATTATATCTTTATAATCGTTATATATGCATATATATATAAAAGTATATTAACATATTTTATATTAACAATATAAAATAATCTATTCATTAATAAAATATTCATCACATTATTAATATATTATTCCTATTGTATCACATATACGGCTTTTTATAAAGCATAATTAAACTCATACGATTATTACTTTTTTTATAAAATATTAAAATTAATCTTTCGAGGATTAAGCAAATTTTTAAATTAAATAATAAATAAATAAGCTAGTATAGAAATTAAATTTATTGTATATTTAATTATAATCATATAATGTCCATTTTTGTGAGCACAAGTCCTTTGTCTGAAATACAAGTGAATTATATTTCTGCGTATTGTAATGATGAAATTCAGATGATTCAGTTTTATTATCAATAGATGTAATGTTGATTCTGGCTAATTGATATTTAATTTTTCAAGTAAATATTAGAAAATTGAAAGGAGAATGAGTAATGGTCAAAATATGCTGCAGAGTCTACTAATTATGTACTGTGGTTTGATTGAATTGGCTGAAACAGCGAGCCGCGCATCCTTCTGTGCCCTTCACCTCAAATGCAATTCTTTTTCAAACCACAATGTATTTATTCTTTATGTTTATTATTTATTTCTTATAAAATAAATACATAAAAATGATAAACAGCTTTAATTATACATAAGTATTTTTATTTTTTTGTTAAATAAAACTTTTTACACGACGCCGAACCCATTTCAAATTCGAGTTCAATATTTACGCTTGAATATTAGAAGAATATAAAAGTAAAGAAGAAAGAGAACGAAAGATATCATCTTTTATAGTATGCGTAGCGTTAAAAAGTGTAAGAAAGTTTACTTTTCCTATATATGTCAAAACTGATAAATATTATAGACATTTTTTTTATATCGACATATTGCATATATCAACAAAGATAAATAAAATCATTTAGAAATACATAGAAAAATCAATCATCGTATACATATATACAAACGAAGTTCTTTGTGTGCATATTTTCTACAAGAGAACCTGTAAAGGAAAAAAACCATACAAGTAGCCATAAAAGGACTTGAAATTGGAAGTCATTAAAGCTCAGCCAATGTTCTTAACACCCTCTAGCGATCAAATTTGTAAATATACAATTCAGATCATTAGTATTATTTCCGTTGTAGCAACTTTACAAGTGGTATTTTAGTATATAGAAAAATATAACAATCTCTTTTCATTGGCTTACGTTTGATACTTGTGATAATTGTCCAATAAGAAAAGAGAATACAATTGTTTTATATTCGATCGCAGCGCCACTCTATCTGGAAAACTCCTTACGTTTGTCGTTTCTTTCGTTTTCCTAGAAGTCAGAATTATATTTGATATTGGATTCGGAAATAGATTTTTACAAAACTTTTCACGATGGTAATTTAAATTTCTGATTATTATATGATAAGATGAAAATGAGGAATTTGTGTTTATTGTTAGTTTTAAAAAGATAAAATGAAACCGGTGATAGCTTACGTGAGAATGCAATAAATGGCGCACATGTGCTATTGCTGAATGATATTTAGAATAATTATTTTAATTTTGTTATAAATGTTCTTTTAATTAATCAAAATATACGATATGTATATATATATATATTTTTTTTTTTTAATTTTTCTCCTATATATTACTTCAATTATATTTGTTTATTATTAGGTTTCCTTAAATCCAGTAAGGATTCTTAAAAATGAGGCAGAGGAGGAAAAAGCAGAAATTGCTAGATTGAGCTTATTCGTGGGAGCAATAGCAATAGGAGATTTGGTAAAATCAACATTAGGACCTAAGGGTATGGATAAAATTTTAGTAGCTCATGGACGATCAGCTGGTCAAGTGCAAGTTACCAATGATGGAGCAACTATTCTTAAAAGCGTTGGCGTTGACAATCCTGCCGCTAAGATTTTAGTTGACATGTCACGCGTTCAAGATGATGAAGTTGGAGATGGGACAACTTCTGTTACTGTACTTGGTTTGTACATTTGTATAATGATATAATATTGAATTCCTATTGACTCAATGTTAGAAATATTTCATTTTTGTGTAATGCATTTAAAATTCTTTAGCTGCTGAATTATTGAAAGAAGCCGAAAAATTAATAGAACAAAAAATTCATCCACAAACTATTATTTCTGGTTGGAGAAATGCTACTAATGTAGCAAGAGAAGCGCTCAAAAATGCAGCTGCAGACAACTCTGCAGATAGTGAACGTTTTCGTGAAGATTTATTAAATATTGCACGTACAACCTTAAGTTCAAAGATCTTGTCTCAACATAAGGAACATTTCAGCAAGTTGGCAGTAGATGCAGTATTGCGACTTAAGGGATCTGGAAATTTGTCAGCTATTCAAGTTATTAAAAAGCGTGGAGCAACTCTTTTAGATTCTTTTCTTGATGAGGGCTTTTTGTTAGATAAGAAACCTGGTCTTCATCAACCTCAACGAATAACAGATGCACAAATACTCATAGCTAATACTCCTATGGATACTGACAAAATTAAGGTACAGAATAGCTGTATTGAATCTGACATTATAATGCATATAAAAATATTGATATTAATTGATAATTATATCTTCTGCATTAGGTATTTGGCTCCAGGGTTCGTGTTGATTCTATGGCCAAAATTGCTGAATTGGAAGTAGCAGAAAAGGAAAAAATGAAGGTGATTATAAATTACAAAATAAATAGATATTCATAGAAACATTATAATCAATAACAAATAATATATTTTATATAGGATAAAGTTGATAAAATTATTAAGCATGGTTGCAATGTTTTTATAAATCGACAATTAATTTATAATTATCCTGAGCAATTATTTGCTGATGCTGGAATTATGGCAATTGAACATGCTGATTTTGACGGAATTGAAAGACTAGCTCTTGTTACTGGTGGAGAGATAGTCAGTACATTTGATCATCCTGAGTTGGTAAAACTTGGTAAATGCGAGCTCATTGAACAGGTTGGTATTTGTTGAGCATACATATATAAATGAGTTATGAGTATATATGATATACACTATATTTTTATACAGGTAATGATCGGTGAAGATACATTACTTCGATTTTCTGGTGTTGCTTTGGGAGAAGCGTGTACTGTCATTATACGAGGAGCTACTCAACAAATTCTTGACGAAGCTGAGCGATCATTGCATGATGCTCTTTGTGTTTTGACAGCAACAGTTCGTGAATCCCGAATTGTTTATGGAGGAGGTTGTGCAGAAATGGTAATGGCATGTGCTGTTATGAAAGCAGCAGCTGCAACTCCTGGAAAAGAATCTGTTGCAATGGAAGCTTTTGCTAAAGCTTTGCAACAATTGCCTACTGTTATTGCTGATAATGCTGGTTATGATTCTGCTCAATTAGTCAGCGAATTAAGAGCTGCACATAATTCTGGAGCCAATACAATGGGCTTAGGTGAATTTTTACAAAAATTAAAAAAATAGATTATACCAATATAAAAAAAAGAGATTTTTATATATAAATATTATCTATAATTATTTTCACAGATATGGAAGCAGGAAGAATTGGTTGTATGAAACGACTAGGTATTACAGAATCATGGGTGGTAAAAAGGCAAGTTTTACTTAGTGCTGCTGAAGCAGCAGAAATGATTCTACGTGTGGATGATATTCTAAGAGCTGCACCAAGGAAGCGTGTTAAGGACCGTGGACGTTGTTAATAATGAAAATAATTTAATTGCTATTACATTATTTGCATTGCTTTTCTAATTTGTAATACGCGCATTATATCGAATTACTTATATTTCAAACTAAGTATTACACACACATCCCCATTTTTATTATTTAATACAATTATATCTCAAACAACTTACAAGCTGTTGGTGTATTAATTATTCTAAAAAAAAAAAAAGAAAAAAGATACACTATCAAAACATCTATTTCTCTCGCATAATATTTTTATTTCAGTATTTTTAAGTAATCTATACTTATAAAAAAATTTATTTTATGAAAATAATCTTTTAAACACTTAACAAATGAGTTAAAGTTTCATGTAGTTTCTGTTTATATTTTGAATAAGCCGCCATTTTACCACTATAGACAATGACATAACACTATATTATCAATAAAAATTAGAAAATAATAACCTATTTAGATAATTGATACTATGACTAGAATTTCATTTTATTATAATTGAAAAATAATTGTAATACTTAATTATAATAATAGAACATCAAAAATGTAAACAAGCGATCGGATTCGATTCAACATAACCTAAAATTTCTAAAAACATCAGAGCACAATAACACTGGACTAGTTATTCTTTTGTTAATTATTCCCGAATTGAAACAATTTTTTTAATATGATATATTTATTTAAACTGTAAAATAAAGGTAGACACAAGAGGATGTGACAGTTATATTTTTGTTAGACTTTCTTTTATATGAAATAGAAAGTTGTTAAATAAATCTGATTCAATTCAGATGAGATAAATTAAAATGGATTAATTATAATTATTATTATTTATAAAAGTCTCCACATGCAGCAACCTCCACGTGGTGAGACTTGGGCAATCCATATTACTTGAATTATAAAAATCATTCTCTTTTATATTGTAAATAATGCAAGTACTGTCGAGCTAATGGCTGCAATTACTTTCGATTTTTTTTTTATTTATTAGATATTCTAATTAATTGATTTAATATACAAATATTTTTTATTAGAGTAAAATATTGCTAGAAATTTGAAATTTCAATAAGCAAGTTGAATTAAATAAATAATATAAAGATATATTATGTTAAAAATAATTTTGAATTTAACGCGCGAACAATAGGCTTGTTATGTACAAGTTTGTATATAAACTAAAACAACATAGTTTGTGTTTTATTTCTATCACGTTTTGTGAGTATATTGGAAATGTTTTTATCTCTTAGAATTAATATTTATTACTTTATAAATAAATTATTACAATGTGAAATTCCAAGAAATTTTATCGAATAATATTAATGTATARCACAATATAAAGAGTGACTGTGTGAATTCATCAGTAATTTTGTCCACTTCTTTTCGAAATGAATAATAGGACATAATAGTAGATTAACAAGTACTTAAAGATCTATAAGTAATAAAATAATATACTCTAAATTTATTTTTAAAATTTGACTATAATTTTGAACTAATACATACGACAGTTGGGACAGGTTAAGAATCATTGTTAGTGAAATAATAGAAGTCTCTGTGTTAATAATTTTAATATAGAATAAAATATCGTGATTCCATTATTATTGTGCAAACAATATGACAGAATTTGTTACACCATCGATTGCATCTAATGAATTACAAGAAAGATGTAATATTTGGGTGGAATCACAAAATGAACATTTGTTTTCTGAAGACACATCGACAAATAAAATAGAAAATAATTACAATGATTATGAAACAGATTCTGAGTTTGATTCAGTTTCAGAATGTGGTGGTAAAAAACGTAGAATAGGAAAATATTTAAAACATGAAATTTTACATTTAGTATGCGAATGGAAAAATTGCAAATTTGATAGTAAATACATGGAAGTATTTTCAAGACATGTTGCTAATCATTTGAGCGATTTAGAAATAAAGGTAAAAGAAGATGGTACAGAGGTTTATGTATGTCAATGGAAAAATTGTTCATATGAAAGCGATATTTCTGATGAAATTTCACGACATGTCAATTATCATTCTTATCATACTAAATTAAAATGTATTGGATCAAATATTCGTGAAAGGGTCAAGTTACCTGTAAGTATAATGATAATTAAATAATTTCAATAAAATCAAATAAACTTGTCATAATAAAATAAAAAAATTTTTACAGAAATGTAATAGAGATACAGATTGGAAGAATATTATTGATTTACCATCACCACATATGTGCAGATGGGAAGAATGTTTAAAGATTTTTTCTAATTATCAGACGTATTTGTATCATATAGTTACTCACCTGGATACTAATCTACGTGGTAATAAAGTAGAAGGTGGAGTTGAATGTAAATGGACAGGATGCAAAAATAAATATCCTAGTTTATATAAACTTAGAGATCATTTRAGATGCCATACCAAAGAAAAAATAGTTGCTTGTCCAGATTGTGGTACTATGTTTGCTTCCAATACAAAATTTCATACTCATTGTAAAAGACAAATTCCTATAGATGGTAAGACAAATATCAGATCTTTTACTTCACATTTTCTTTAAATATTTTTTGCATTAATTTTGTTACCTTTATCGTATCACTTTAATGATTTATTTTTTAGTACAAGGATTTCAATGTTCGCATTGTAATAAGTTCTACCCAACAGAAGGGATTCTTCGCAATCATATGAGATTGCATGTTTTTAATTATAAATGTACTTTATGTGATATGAGTTGTGAATCTCCAGCTACTTTAGCAAAGCACGTGAGATATCGACATGTATCGACAAGAACTTTTCCATGTCAATTGTGTTCTCATGCTGCCAAATCTCAACAAGATTTAGATTCTCATATGTCTGTTCATACAAATGGACCTAATTTTTCTTGTCACTTTGAAGGTTGTTCTTTTACTTGTAAAGGTGCTTATACATTAGACAGGTATTTTGATTCTTATATTATTTTATATATCTTTAAATAAAARAATCATATCTACTATATAAAAATGTTCATTATTTTAGGCATGTTGAACGCGTTCATAGTTTAGAAATAAGATGGTATTGTTGTCATGAATGTCCTGTTAAATATAGAAAAAGTTATCGTTTAAGCAAACATCTTATGGAAGCACATCATTTACAATTACCTAGTGGTCATAAACGATTTCAATATGTACAGGATGAAGATGGCTGTTATAAACTTCAAATGGTTAGATATGAAACAGTAGATGAAGAAAATATTTCATCTATTGAAAAACCAATTATTACAAATAAAAATTATAAACTTAAATTAGACAAATCTTCATCATTGGTAAAAGTAGAAGTAAGAATAATTTKTTGATCAATTTATACATTGTAATTGAAATATAATAAGTTTCAAATATAAAAAAATTAAATTTTTTCAGATATTAGAAGATGATACGGAAGATGTGCAAGATTTACAGATAAAACCTATAACAGATTTTGATATAGATCAATCAATGCCTGTTATATCAAATATTTTAATAACTTTTGATGAAATAGATGAAAAAGGAAACATAACAAAAAGTAGAATCATAAATTCTCAAAGTATGTAAAATAACAATTATCATAACAATTTTTATTAGAATTGATATAAATAAAAATTTAATCTGATAGCTAATTTTTAATGAATAAATTTTTTAAATAGTAACTTAAAATAAATAATTTATGGTTATTTTTTTTTTCTTAAATATATTAGAGATACCGAAAAGTTTTGGTATTTTGAACCTTTTAATTACCATAGTTACAGCACATGGGTTTTTAATTTTAATTTAAATTTAGTTAGCAAATGAAAATGATGTTATTGATTAAATATTTCTATATTTGAGATTTTATAACAAAAACGTAAAAACTTTCTGGTTTCATATATTGTATATATATATATATATATATATATATTTGTTAGTTGTTGATATCCAAAAGTTGTTTTATAATAGTAATTTTAACAAATTACATAAAATGAATAAAGTGAACTTTCCTTTTGCTTGCTACAATTAAACAATCTGTGAAATGTGTGCTTATATTTAACGATACAATTGGTTCTTTATCTACTATTATTACTCTTGCTACACTAGATTGCAAATTTAGCTTGTTCCAATTATTTACATAATATATATAAACACGACCTAAAAATATATATTTTATTTTTTAAGAATTAACAAAATACATTAACCATACTTTAACAAATACAAAAAAAATTTACCTGTCCCTATACCTAATATAAGAAGACTTCCATAAATAAGAACAGCAGTGGGTCTTCCATGACATATGGAAAGTGCATTGAAAAATATCCATTTTTTACCAGATATAGAAAATCCTATGGATCCATATTCTGAAAATAATGAAAAAAAAATAAGTTCATTGATAATATATTTAATTATTTTTATCAACTTTACCTGTAATGCATACTGCTATATCAGTAAACATATAATAATTTTGAATAGATATATTTGGTGGTTGTATAAATTTTGTGATAAATAATTCTTTATCTCCTGCCAATAGTCCATAGAAAAAATTACCTTCTTCTGTATAAAAGCAAACCTATTAATAAGATACTTATAAAAATAACAAAGTTTGAAAAACATTGTAATGCATACTTCAAAAATTTATTTCATAGGGTACAAAATATATATTACATATTTTAGATATTTTATCTTTGTTAAATACCTTATTACAATCTGCAGTACCAGCAACAATGTTATTAACGGGAAGTTCATATAAAGTTTTAGGTATACATCCTTGGACACTTAAAATATTCTTTGCAATAGAGTAGCAGTAACTTTGACTAGTACTGTATAAAGATATTGCGAATAAGTGGAAGAAACATTAGATCTATCTTTATATCTGTAATATTATTAAATAAGTTTTCTTACCATAGTAATTTTCCACGATCCTTTATAATAAGATTCTTAGATTGAAAATCCCAGAATTTGATATGATCATTTGTACAAGAAGATGCAAGAACAATTTTTTTATCTATAAAATACAATTACAAATGAATAAGTTTTATACATAATTATAATAATTACAAATACTTTTAGAAAATATAATGTATTATTATATTAACATACTATTATTCAAAAATTTAACATTAATTACAAATTCCATATGATTTGCTACATATATTGGTTTTTTACTTAAATCATCAGTATTRAAAAAATAAATATATCCTTTTGATGTTCCTATAGCTAAAATATTTCCTAGAAAAAATAATTATCTGTTAAAATAGTAAAAAGTATAGAAAAATTGTTTCATACACACACACAAATAAATAAATAAATATATATATATATATATATTATTTTACCTAATACTGCAATACAGGTAATAAATTCTAGATAATGATTTTTTGATAATGGATACAAAGTATCAATAAAAATATTACAAGTTATTAATTGTTTGCATTTAAACCACCATTTATACATATTCATCCATATTTTTCCTTTTTTTCTTTTATTTATCAAATCAACATATAATTTATTAGGATATAATGTTTCAAACAGCAATTTCCATTGATTTTTTGGTATTTCTTCCTTACATTTTGTATACCACACATCACTTTCCTAAAATAATCAACCTGACAAAAGTACTATCTATTGTACGTATAGTGAAATTACTATTAAATTATGTTAGATTTATCAATTAATTCGATGCCTTTTAAAAAAATTTAGTATTTATTCTTAGTAAATTTCTTAATGAAGATAAAGCTGATGATTTTGATGCAATCAATTTAATATCAAGACACCGAATTTTGATTGCTATATTAAACATAAACATTCTTATAAAATAATAACTTTGATTTACTAAAAAGATAAATATTTACATTGAAAATTTTATTAATAATTTCTCTCCAAAAATTGCACACAATTTTTATTCTAGTTAAATTTACTGGATCAATATATGAAAATATTTGTTCCCAAATTTYTATGGGAAATGCCATATTTACTTTGTTTTAACAACTTGTGTTGGCGAAAAATTCGAGCATTATTTTAGCTTCATAAATTTGAACAAAATTGTTGCGCATGCGTATAATGAACGCAATCTTATCAAGTACAGTTTGAAAAAAGATTTACATTGTTAAATTCCCTTTCCATATCCTTTCTACGTAAATATGTACGTTTCTAGGGAAATTTAATTCCTAGCAGTAGATGTTGCAGTGATTGCTAACGCCATCTTAAAACATCTAGGGGCTTTAGTCTTAGCTGCAAGTATAGTTGGTGCAATGCAAAAATAGTTGAATGGTAGCCATGTGCAGCTATATGTATAGCAATAAGTGAAGTTGATCTCATAAATAATAGTTTAATAGTGCAAGGTATTTTTTAAGTAACAAAGATGAATCCTAATAARTTCACATTATCAAAGAGTATTTTAGAAATGAAGGTATGTTAGATTTTTTATGATTTTTATATTTAAATGTATTAAATAATAATAATTGAATGAGTCTACACATGGTACAATACCTGAATTACAAAAACTGAATTATTTTTATTTATGTCAATTCATTTTTTAATATAATAATATCTAACCTAAACTTTGATTTCCATATTAATTATTTTCTTTTTAATACGTATCTCATTTTTTTGTTTATTTGTATTAGATTAGTTAATTTATATTGTTCTTTTTCATTTATTAATGATGCAGTGTCATTTGAATACATTATATGATATGTTTTATGTATATTTATATTTATTAAAAATAATATTTACAGTTTATGAAGAGGACAAAAGACAAAGTTGAAAAACAGATGATAGAGAAAGAAGGAGAAGATTACTTTGGTGGTCAATTTTCAGTTAAAATGAGCAGTAAATCGTATGTATTTTGTAATATATATTGCAATATAATTTTTCTATTCTATTTATATATATTCTAACAATACGATGATTATATATAATAACACTTTATATTTTATTTTAGTGATCAGTTTATTATTGAACCTAGTTTTGTGATTTGTGAAGGATTGATTGAAGGTAGACTAAGTTTCAAAGGTATGAATCCTGAATTAGAAAAATTATTAGAAATGGAAGAAATTAATAAACAGATGGAATTGGAGAAAAAACAAGAAACAGATGTAACGGATGAACAAATGGCAGATAAATGGTTATCGCTTAGAAAGGGAAAAAGAAGCTTTAAAAGGCTGAAACAACAGAAAGTTAATAATAATGATCAAAATCCGAGGAAAAAAAGAAAATTTTTAAAACCTGTTGATTAACCTTTTTTTTAGAAATTAATAAATATTTTATTCTCTTTGTTTACATGGTCATTGGTTTCACGAAAACAATGCATAAATAGATCCATGAAAAGCCATTTAAAATAAGAATCTATTCTAAATTTTCAAATATGTATTTAACTTTTACTTAGATAGAAAAATAAGTATACGTAATAACAAAATAAATTATACCATAGAATTTCTGAATTTGTATTCTTTTTACATAACTCATTTATTGTGACATATGAAGTTTGGTTCATTAAACTCAGTGCATTTCAAGTGCATTAAAGTGTATCTGCATAAATATAGACCATCTAAATGAAGGGATTACTGAATATGTAGATTAAGTAAAATACATATTTAAATAACTAAATTTTATTGTATTATACCAAAGTTACTGTAAATATGTATAAATGTATAAAATAAGTATGAGGGATAGGGTAAAGAAAGCAGGGGCAGTAATGAGGCAAGTATGGGGATTAGGGTGAAGAATATTTAGCAAGAATTGGGGGAGGAAGATGTGGCTTTCCGACACGCTGGTGTGGACGGTGTTAAGTTACGGAGCGGAAATATGGAGGTGGGAGGAGAGGAAAGAGATCGAGAGGGTACAGGAAAGGTATATGAGATGGACACTGGGAGTAGATTAGAGGACATCAGGGTACATGATAAGAGAAGAAGGAAAAAGAGATAAACTGGGAACAAGAACAGCGAAGAGAGCTTGGAAGTATGAGGAGAAGCTAAGGAGAGGAGAAGGAAGTGAGCTGGCGAGAGAATGCTGAAAGGAGGCGCGGGAGAGAGAAAAGGGGGGGAGAAGTGGAGATTTCAAAATGGGAAGAAGGGAGGAAAAGGTTTAAAAAAAGGATAGTGCAGGACAGGGAGGAGGTTGTTGAGAGTTGGGAAGAGATGGAGAAGCGGGGTTGTGGGACGAGGGGAGGGGGAAAGGAGGAAAGGAGAAGCGAAGGAGAGAGTAGTGTTAAGATAGGTTAAGGATTTAAGTGTAAAAGGAGTGTAACCCTTTGGGGAATCAGTAAAATGTATCGATGTATAAAATAAGTATGACATAATTACTAAGATTTATTTATTTTATTATAAAATAGAAGTTTAGACAATTTATTAAAATAATGTAAAGTTTATACAACCGAATTAAAAATATAAGCCTGAGATTGATTAAAATTGTTTGTTTTTAAATAATATTTTTATAACTTCATTCTCTATAAGTATCAGATTTATTATCATTATTATTAATATACTTGATATTTTGTATATATTTTTTACAAAGAATTTATAGGTACATCTAACAAAGTATTAAAAGTATCAACGCATACACCTTCATTACCATCCTTTTGAATTGCTTTCTCCCAAAGTATATCAAAAGTGTTATCAGGAAAATTAATTCCAATATTTTCAAATATATTTTGTATTTCTTCCTTACTTCGAAGCTATATAAACATTTTTATTAGATATTACGAATAAAATAAGTTCAATGAACATAATACAATTTTAAATTTATAATTTAATTACCAATACCTTGAAAAAATCTATATGATTTAAATTATATTTTGTATAAGTACTGGGAAAAATTAAAGCATAAGCATTGTCAATCTTTGAGTATAACTTTTCATTACAAGGATAATATTTAGACGGAGTTACGGAAGATTTATTTTCATCTTCGTTTAGATTTGATATTACTTCTTCCTTATTTTCTGAAATATCTAATTATTTTTATTAATGGAATAATTATTTATAGCTAACATTATACACATGTAAATAATATAAATTTTTTATTAATACTTTTTATTTTTGGAAATATAGGAAATGGACGTTTCCAATTTAGAAGGTCCACTACGTTGTTATAAAAAAGTTTATTATTTTGTCGAAATCCTAAAAGATCTAACAATCCGTCAAATAATTCTCTTTTAGGATAAATCTTGTAGTTCTTCAAAATTGTAAATACATCTTCTTCCGATAAAATACCAGTGTGTTCCTGAAAATAACAGAGAAAGTTAATGTACCTAATGTGTATTTTGTTGAAACATTAATTGTTCCTACTATGATGCTGAAGTCCAACCTGCGGATCTAGGTCTCACGTCAGTGAAAAAGAAAAAAATCTTCCTATTTAAGGAAAGTGAGAGGAGGAAGAAGAGAAAGGAAAAATGAACGAATAAGACTCCTGACCTATTTTTGATGATAGTGTAAATATTTGTCTAGTTCGACATTGTCAAAGGTAAGGTCGTCTGTTGAACAATAGCAAGAATCGAAACCTCTTAAGATATGACATGACATAGTATGTTTGTTCCCAGAATTATATTTTCATGTTATTATTAATTATAAATAATCACACAAGTATCATTACCTTATCCAAACAGACTAAATCTTCATAAATATCAAAGTAATCGTTACTGGGAATATATTTTTTAAGATTATCACGCAACATTCTCAGATATTGTAAATATTTCCATTTTAAGATCAATGTATTGTCCATAGGTGATTCTTGCAATGCATCTGCTACTGAATCTACTTGTTTTATCGGGAGTTTCCCATATATACTCGTTAAAGATAAACATTTTCTTTTCGGATTTCTTTATGAATTTTCCATCATATTTTTATACATTATTTTTTTATATTTAATTATTAATTTTATTATAATAAATTATATTATTTATATTACTTTACTTGTCCAAGAAGTAATTGCGTGTCTTTTAAAAAATCGGCTTGAATGTGATTGACTAATGTAGTATTACTATAATCTTTATTTTGTATAATCTTTTTAATTCTAGATCCTCTTTCATCGGCATTACTCTTTTTTCCGAAACAAGTATGTTTGTTAAAATGGCAATTATAACTATTTAAAAAATAGAATTATTTTAATTAATTTTTCAAGATATTAATATATAAAACATGATTATATAATATTAATAATATATAAAATATCAAAGTACGTAATAAATATCATTTCAAAGTTTTCAATCTTTCAATACGAGGAGGGTTGGAAAGTTTTGAGTCTAACACGATGTAAAAAATCATAAAGCTGTAAAAAAATTTATTTTTCCGTATAAAAACGAACAGGTATATAAGAATGCATGTAAAAACTTCTCCTTTCGTTTTCTTTGAAACGATTTAGTATTGGACTTTACTGGGTTGTATAATGTGTGGTTTCTCTTACAACTATGTAGAATTTAAAAAATCAATGTCCTATCAATTTGGTTCCCTAGTTGTCTATATTTTTTGAAAAGATGGATTTTGAATTATTTGACTTTAATGTGACTAAATATACTTTCTAAAATTATATCAATAATATTACTTTCTAGTAGTTTGTGTTCCTTCATTTTGTTGATTAATGTTTTCAAATCTACAGTGATCAACATCAGCATGCATTATCGGTTTACTATCAATTTCGGGAGGATTTATTAATTCTGCCATTGTTGCTTCTGGTAAATAGATAATAAATTTTTTTTATTTTTCTATTTTTTTCTACTATAATAATAATAATAATAATAATAATAATATCATGCGTTCAATCAAATTGAATTACATCTTTGTCGCAGTACAATAAAAACAATTTTAAATTAATATAAAATCATTTTTTTTAATTGGTTTGAAAAGTATTTTTTTTAATGGGGGACCATACCAAATTTATATTTTTTCCCGAAAGTTGTTTTTAATGGATCCATACCAACTGGTAGATGAGGTACTAAATATTGAGTCTTTCCAACTTCTTTGTTCCAATAACTTTTCATTACAGTATTTTTCAACTCCATGACAAGTGTTTGAAATGGCGTTAATAATTGATATTGTAAACAGTCTTTTACCTACGAATTAACATTTGTATTATTTCAATTTCTGTAAATTTATCCTAACCTAACCGTATATAATCTCATGTGGTCAATATTCGATAATGTAATTTATTGTACGGTTTCACCTACAGTTAGAGGCATTCGCTTCTTCAGAGACATTAAAGTTTTACTTTTAACAGAGTTAGAAAATAGAAAATTATGATATTATAATAATTCGTGTTATATTAGAAATGATTGTGAGACTTACGGTCGCGTTAGAATTCGAATTTTTCTTATATAAGGAATTAGATTTTTCCGATGAAGAATAAAACGATTTAGCGTTAGAGTTTGCCATTATTTTATTTATTTTTTTTAAATGGTAATTAATAGAAAATATTTATGAATATTATAAAAGTAAATTGATCGATAATATTTTATCAAAACAAGAGAAAGAAACATTGATAAGCGATAATGCGTATTATTTTTTAATTCGGTCTTTTATTCTGAATATAGATGTTAATTAGAATTATATTATAATTATTTAATGTACTACTTTTTATTAATTAATATTATATTTTATTAATAATTATTATTATTATACTTTTTATTTAATTATTTAACGTAATACTCTTTTGCTTTTTATTATATATATATATAATAAATATATATATATACACAATAATCAAACAAAATTAAAATATACAATATGTATTATAAATCAAAAAAGAGATCAAAATTATTGATTAGTATTAATTGTAAAATAAAATCTGCTATTAGAAAAGAAGCCTTAATTGCAGGGTGTTTTTTTATACTAACCGTAAGAAGTACAACAGATTTTAATTTTTAGTAAAAATAAAACCATTTGGTTGTGCAATATATTGCCAAAAAAATAAAAAAATACATAAATAAAAAGAATCGTGCGTATGAATTAAAAATAAGAAAGTAAATTATAAAACCGGTTTGTGTTTTTTCGATCAATGACAAAGATCACATAACTATCGAAGGATGAACACAAAAGGATACGTAGTCAAATTGTTTTAAAAATACAAAAAAAAAGCTAGCAAAATAACGTGAGATCCTTTTTTGACGAATTTTTTCATTACAGTACAGGTGTATACATCTTATTTTTACGCATATCATATACATATATATACACGTAAATGGTTCAGCAGCTTCACTTGGAACTCGTGTTCTCTCGTGTCACTTAATTATCGTTGGCAATTAAGCTTGTGTTTTATTAAAACTAAGAAATATTTGTGTTAGCAGTGCAAGAAAGATCATGAGAAAGATCACAGTAACATGTTCGAAGAACTCTGTGTTAACATCTCTCTCGAGTATATATATACATTCAAAAATATTTATATAACACTGACTTAATTACGAGACTACATAATTGCGTCGTTGAACTAACCACTTAACAACATCAACAACGTAAAATTCAGCCCTATTTTTTCATCTCTTCAACCAAGAAGAATCTTCATCTTCTTTATTCGTTCATTTCTTTTTTCTTTTTCCCATTTAATGAATCTTTTTCTAGGGGGTAATACTCTTTCTACGTAGTAAGATTAAAAGATAAAAATGAATTGGTGATAATTTAAAAACGTCCGGAAGATCAACACCAAGAACAACACCGTATACTTAACAGTTAATTATTAGATCGTTACTTAGATATAAAATGGTTATTTGAATGTTCACGCAGGTACATTTTGTTTTTGAAAAATATGAGTGGTTAAGCTTTAAATATTTTTTTAAAAAGCGAGAGATATTTTCCAGAATCTTCATTCGCTATCTTTATAGCGAAGACCCTTTCTCTTTCTTGATACATCTGTGTGAGATGATCCCTATTCACGAGCTAAGGATAAAGATTTCAAGATAAGAGCATAAAGCGAATGGACGGTAGTTTTAAACGCCTAGAAGATTAAAGAGACATCTAATTATGAGGTTTCCTAGTCATGGGAAAGGTCATGTACCATAATCCTATGTGATTTCAAATCATGCTGCTTAGTTTTCTTTGTTAATGACAATATATTTTCACAAATATTGTATTTTGGTTTATCAAGAAAAGATAATAATAATAATAATAATAATAATAATAATAATAATAATTAAATATACATAAAATTAAAAAATCATTTGAAACTCTCGTTGAATTATACAATAGATAATTTTGAGATTTCTATCTGCAGATTCTACTTAACCCTTAAGAGTTCCCCCACTTTTCGAATCATTAGTCAAAACAATTGGATTAATCTGATATGTACATTTTTTAAAATGTGTTCTCATGTTACTACTCTGAGAAAAATGAAGGCCACATTTTGAGCAAGAATAAGGTTTGGATCCAGTATGAGAGTTAAGGTGAGTCTTCAAATGGTGTTTCTTCGTAAAAGCCTTGGAACAAAGAGTACATTGATAAGGTTTCAATCCTGAGTGAAGCTTCGTGTGAAGTGTCATGTTCGATCTATCTGCAAAAGCTTTTTGACAAATGTGACACCTATAAGGTCGTTCCCCAGAATGTGTCCTGAGATGCTGTTTGAGAAGCATTTTCCTCGAGAAAGCTTTGCCACACTGTTCGCAACTATGTGGTTTCAAACCGGTGTGTATCTTGGCGTGCATGTTATATGCCATTCGTTGATTGAAACTTTTACCGCATACAAGGCAAGCGTATTCCTTACGATTGCGATGGATCTTCATGTGTGAACTAAGGTAACTACGATCGTTAAAAAATTTCCCGCATTCCGTGCAACTGGCCGCGAATTCCCTTGTACCCTCGTGAATGCTACGATGGTACTTGTAATTGCGCAACTGCGAAAATTCTTTACCACAATCGTTACAACGAAAACATTTCTCCCTTTTCGTTTCTTTTTTTTCTTCTTCCTTTAAATTCCTATTAGGATTCATCCGAGGATATTCGAAATTCTCTGTAACCTTCCCTGATGTTGCATTCTCTTTGGATACGTAAGTTTTCTCAATTGAATTTACATTACTTTCGAAGAAAGAATCTTGTTTGATAGAATCGTACTGTTCAACGCCATATGAAATTCTATCGATATTATTTTCTTCGCTTTTGTTGTCCGTAAGTCTATTGGTATTCTGTAAATCATCACACACATTATGAATAAATATTGAATAAAGTAATAAAGATAATTAAATGAAAATATACTTACGAAATTTGTCATACTTGATCGTAATTTAGGCGAATGATGAGGTCTGACAATTTGACGCCAAGGTGATGCCGTCACGCGATTTGCCACGTGACAAAATTGTCTCTTCCACGTTTTCCGCCATCTTTCTTCAGGGTAAATCAAGTCCTTGTTTATCCACGAGTAATCCACTTTGTTAGACGATCTCACCATGTCTTGGTATTTAAATGACGTAAATAATTGCGACTCCAACAAAGAGTCCTTTGTACGAAATTTAAATTCTTTAGGACGTTCAATGACTCCAGTCAAATTCTGAGACATTTTAGAAGGTGTATGATTTGTAGTAGCCTTGAAATCGAAGGTATACGATCTATTATCTCGATCGAATGTATCGTACAAGATAGCAGCAGGTAAAGGTGGTAAATTTATATGTAAAATCATAGCTGTTCGTAGAAACGCATTCAATCTTGTCCGTGATACTTTTGTACGACCGGTATAGATAAAATCTAATATTGCTGATAATTCGGTTGATTCGATCTCTTCTAATACGATTGTTATAGGTTCTTGATTGTTCGACGGGTTACCATTATCATGCAGAAGTTTCTGTCAAACATATACAAATAAATATATAAATATAATTTATTATCAAAGTTTTAATTACAACTTGCAAAATTTTCTGTTAAACATATATACAAGTGAAAATATAAATATAATTTATTTTTTTATTTCCTTTTAATTACAATTTGACAGCCGTTATAATAACGAGAATTAATGGGGGATTTTTTGTTGTTGCTTTATCGATCGATCAAGCTTACGGGAAAAAATTACATAACGTGATTTAATGAAGTAAGATAAAAAATTGACAAATAAAAAAAAGAAAAGAAAATCAAACCTGTAAGTAAGGACTAGCAGCTGAGAGAACGAGTCGATGCGTCAAAAACCTTTCACCACCGAAGCAACAAAGAGCGACGTCTGCGAATGTTCGGGATGGTGTTGCTTCTTTTAAAAAATTTTCTATATCCGGCAACGTTTTTCCATAAAGACATATAATTTCTCCCATCGTTTATTAATTTATTATAATTTATTATTATTATCAACAAATTTTTTTTAAATATAGATGCAGATAGATAATCGATACTATAGAAATTTATATTAAAAAAAAAAAAGAAAAACATATATATAACAAAATAATAATAATATTATTATTATTATTAATAATAATAATATAATATTACTATTATTATATATAATTATATTATGTTATATTATTATTATTTATAATATTTTTTTAATAATTAAACAAATTTCTTCTTAAAACCTTGTTATATTTGATTTTAAGTATTCGTAATCGATCTATTTATCACTAATGATTTATTATGCCAATAAATCTTATCGATCGTTGATCGATTTTTCAATTTTTTCTTTTCCTTTCACTTTTTCATTATTTATCGATGTAATGTATTTTATAATCGTCATTTATCGTCAATACGATTGATTGAGTTTTACTCTAATTTATATAATACAATACTTTTCATTATCTGGCACCTTTTATACACTGATTTTTTGTTATTCACAGATTCACGTTATCTTATGATATAAAGAGAATGATCAACGGTGATTGTAACTTGAAATTGACGACTAACATCCGAAAGACTTTGGACCGTCCGACTGAAGGAGAGACTACCTTTTCTTCATACGATCTTTTCTGAATGAAGTGAGAAAACAAGGTGTGACTTGTCTCCTACCATATTTACCTTACCCTCTCCCATTCTCTTTGCAACCCTTCCTAGTCCCCCATATAATTCGTGTAATTTCGAAATAAACAAATTTTACATTATTAAATGACTTTTTATTTGAAAAATAAAAAGAACAATAAAACAACAACAAATCTAGAATTTAATCTAGATCTTAATCTCTCCATCAATCTTTTCAAATAAAATAATATTGAAGTTTGATCAATTATTAATTGAACCACTTCGTTTAGTTTAACTCTATAAAATAAAAAATAGATAAAAATTAATCAAATAAGTATAAGTATATAATATAATATATAATAATATAAAGTATATAACAAAAGTATAATAAAAATAATATATAATAATGAAAAGTTTATAAAATAATATAAATAAGTCTAATTTATTATTAAACAATAATAAAAAATATTTCCATTTAATACTGTTAATGTGTAATTATTAAGAAAATTATTTGACAATATAAAAAGTTAAATATTTATGTAAGTTTTTTGATAATAAAATTAGAAAACATTCTAAAAGAAAAGTTAATCAATTTGTCCTTTATTTATGAACGAATTAATATCGTTTATTTTTTTATTTAGATTTTCTTTTATTTTTAACGATACATAAATAAAATCAATCATTTGTTGACCTATAACCTCTTATACTTTATAATATTGTTAGTGTAATTAAAAAAAAATATTTTTGGGGTGGGTTAGGGGTGTATTCCCAATTATAAATATTTAAACATTTTTTCGGATAACAAAGTTAATAAAAAAGGATAAGTAACATGGTTACTATTGGTACCGAAGCTAAATTCAAATCTTGGACACCTTCTCAATCTGGCAAAACTCAAGATAATATCATCTCATCTGATCATTCTACGAAAAAGGCTTTTATACCATCCTATGAAAAGTATATACCTATATATATATTGACCTTGAATTATTTTACAATATTTTTTCGTTTGGTTTTAACGTGAAATCAAAAGTATGCATGCATATTTACGTATAATTTTTGATGCTTGAGTTGAGCAAAGAGCAAAGTGTGACACAACACTCGAATGATTATGCAAATTCAACTCGATGATCTCGATTTCGGAACCACGCCCAAAATGTATATATATTGTCCTGTTTGACCTGTTATATTTTCGTAGAGAAAGACGACCATGCATCGAGTTACTATTATCGAACGAGTATCAAAGAATTTGGTGGCGAGAAAAGAAAAGTTGGGAAAAAGCAGTCGTTCCAACAACAACCAAGAAAAAATTATTATTAAGAATGGTAATGTTTAAATTAATTATTTGATCAATAAAATTTCTATTATTATGTGCTTGGAATAATGAATTTAATTAATTCAATTCAAACAATTGGAATAATTCATTTTATGATTTATTAATTCAATCAAATGAATTTATACATTTTACTTTGCATTAAAATCACTGTTATAATTTACAAGAACATTATTAGCAATTAATTAAAAATATTAAATGAAATATTTTTGTAGATAATTAAAAAGAAACCAAAGAAGGATAGTTGTCCGCTGAACTTACCAGTGTTAGAAGAAACGAAGAAAAAGAATAAACCGAAAAAGAAAGAAAATTTGGATTTAGAAAAAAAATCAAATACCATTTAAAAATTTTCTAAACAAAAAAAACATTAAATACATGCAAATCATACAAAATTGTTTCTAATAAAATATTCAAAAATATTAGAAAATATTTTTTCGACAAGAAATAACATTAATTGCAAGAATAAAAATGTAATAAATTGATTATGGTACAACGTGAAAGCTTCGTTGAAATGAAATTCACTTGAAGACCTTGTATAAAATTAATCATTTAATCCTATTTCTTGATCCAACTTTCTATTAATCCTAAAAATAAGTTTTACGACCTACATATACTGAATTTTATATATATATATGTATGCAATAGGGATTAAAAACAATGAATAAATTGTTATACCTTAGAATGGTAGAAATCAGTATCAGAATATTTTTCTTGTATTCTATATATCTGAACTTAATCCGCTGTCGAGATCCCCAACTACTGAACGATATAAGGTTTCAGTAAGCCTCAGCGTGCTTTTACTATAACAGTACAGTTCATAATCGTTGTCTTGCATGTTACCATTACGTTTTCATGGAGTTATAAAATTTGACAAAGTGTGCCATCAAATATAAAACATTATAAATTAATAAATAATTCCATATATGTATAACAAATTATTGTTCAACAGTTAAGTGTAAAAAACATAGATTTCAAATCTCGTGTAAATTTGTTTTAAATCTTTTTTTGAAAGAAACAAATTATATCCTCGTACGATAGTTCGGTAATAGTTTTTCCGATAAAATAAGAACAACAAATAAAGTAAAAAATCGCAAGATATAAAAAAGTACCCGAATGAATTCTGTTATGTTTCAACGGCAAGCTTGCAGGACGTGAATTATGAATCCATCTGAATCACAACAGAATCTTCTTAGTAATGAAATTAGAGCACCCTCGGTACAATCATTAAGTCCACCGGCTGATTATATTCTCGGACCGGTTGAAAAACATTTTTTATTGAGTGCTGAGAGAGGTGATTGTGCTACCGTCAAAAGGTATAATTTCAAAATTCACATTTAACGTTTATAAAAATATAACTATAATAAAATTGATATTAAAACAGATTGCTGGAAGAAAATAAAGATCATCCAGAAATCTTGAATATAAATTGCGTTGATCCATTAAATCGATCAGCTTTAATAGCAGCGATTGAAAATGAGAATATCGAACTTATTAAATTGTTGTTGGATTTGGGAATACAAGTTAAGGTGATGAGAAAAAATTATAATAATAATTCAATAAATTGTTAATACATTTTTTAAATTTAATATTACATTACTATTGCAGGATGCACTTTTGCATGCCATCAAAGAGGAATACGTGGAAGCCGTGGAGATTTTGTTAGAATGGGAAGAAAGAATCCATGTTGCAGGTCAACCTTACGTAAGTTCAAGAACAAGTTAAATCAATTTTCTAAACATCTATCTGTATTATATTTAAAAGATAGATAGATAAAAAAAATTGATATTTATTTCAGAGTTGGGAAGCCGTAGATAGATCATCATCTAATTTTACTCCTGACATAACTCCTTTAGTATTGGCAGCACACAAAAATAATTATGAAATTTTGAAAATACTTTTAGATCGTGGAGCGACCTTACCAACCCCTCATGATGCCAGGTAATTTATTTTCTATCAAATTTTGAGATGGTGAAATTTTTATTAGGAATGCATTTTTGTATGTAAAATATATTTCAATAATCGATATATTGAATTTCATTACGTAAAATATGACGTAAAATAATATATATAGTATAATATATAATATAATATAATACGTGCCCATAATTATGAAAGTGGTCTAAGTTAAAATTAAAAAAAAATGAGTTTATTAGTTATTTAGCACCACATTATTTTAAACTAAATAAATTCAATGTAATTTTCACGATATTGTCAAAAATGAATCGTCAGATAATATTTGTTTTTTCAATATTACATAGGATTCATACAGTGTTTAAATAGAAATCTTTAAATATCTCGAAACAAGAGATACATGACTTAGACCACTATAATAATTATGAGCATATATCCCACATAACACAATAAGTTTTGAAATCTTTCAGCGAAAGTTTCGTAAAATATTTCCAAAAAACCTTTCAGAAACCTTGCAGGCATCATTCTAAAATATTTTGAAAAAGATTCATAAAAGATTTGACAAAAATATTTTTAAAACATTTCTAAAATATTTTACTGATAGAGTAATCTTTTGCATCTCTTAACGCGGACATTTTCACCTTGTAAAAAGATTTTTTAGAAACCTTTTTGAAAGGTTTAAAGCTTTTCAAGAAATGTTTTAGAAAGTTTTTAGTTAGTTTTTATGTTATGTGGGATGTAGTATAATATATATAGTATAATATTATTATATTATTTATTTCTTTGTATTTTTTTAACCAAATTTTTATTATAAATACTATAAGCACTATCAGTGTTACAAAAGTAAAATTTATAAGCGCCTATAGACGCCCACAGTAGTCTAAGTATATAAAACGTCCAATTACTCCGATTACATTAAATTAAAAATCTGACATCTCGTATAAAATGATTTAATATTTAACTTTTTTTTATAATACTATCTTTATACGATTTTAGATGTGGTTGCGACGAGTGTGTAACTTCGAGTGAACAAGATTCTCTTCGACATTCTCAATCTCGTATAAACGCATACAGAGCTTTAACATCACCGTCCCTTATCGCTTTATCTTCGAGAGATCCACTTTTAACAGCATTCGAACTTTCATGGGAATTACGTCGTCTCAGTCGAATGGAACAAGAATTTCGATTTGAGTATAATGTACATTTCATTATTAAATATTCTGTAAAATAATGTTATTTATTTTTGTTTATCATAAAATATTGAAAATATGTTCATCTAGGAAATGCGAGAACAAACGCAACATTTTGCAACATCGTTATTAGATCATGCACGTACATCATATGAATTAGAAATTATGCTCAATTATAATCCTACTGGAGATAATTGGGAACCTGGAGAACGTCAAACTTTAGAACGATTAAAACTTGCTATTAAATATAAACAAAAACAGGTAAATGTTGTATAAAAGGATGTCTTAAAAGTTGTTTTATTGATTGTTCAAAATATTAAACAAATCAAAATTGATTTATTAATACAGAGTGAGAATATTTTGTTTAAGTATTAATTTTTAGTTATAATATTGTTGCCTTACATAAATTAATTAGTTATAATATTATTAAACATATATTACATAAATTAATTAGTTATAATATTGTTGCCATCTAAATACTTATCACAAATACAATTTTTAATGTTTTAATTTGATAAAACGATTTTTGCAATACCCTTATATTATATTTTGTTTTATACATGCATGTATGAAAGTGTTGCCTATCTTAAAGGGCACAATCATTCTTTTTCAAATATTATTAAATATCGAATGTTAGATCCTAAAATGTCTTAAACAAATTTATTATAATTAAATTAATTTGAACTGTATATACATTTTATTTTCAGTTCGTAGCTCATCCGAATGTGCAACAATTATTAGCAGCCATTTGGTACGATGGTCTACCTGGTTTTCGTAGAAAAAGTATGATCGGTCAATTAATCGAAGTTGGAAAACTCGGTGCTATGTTTCCTGTTTACAGTTCAATTTATATGATGTCTCCTACATCCCAAATGGGTTTGTTTATGAAAAAACCATTTGTCAAATTTATTTGTCACTCTTCTTCTTATGCTTTCTTTCTCAGTAAGTAGACACTTCGATATTTTCTTTATACGTCATTTTATAAGGAGAAGTTAAAAAAGGAAAGTTAGAGAAAAAGAAACAAGAAAATATTTAAAAAATTATTCACAGTGTTACTTGGAATGGCGTCTCAACGAATCGAATATTTGGTTATCGAATTATTTGGCAATGCGTGGATGCGTGAAATACTTGCAGGATGGAAAAGACGAGAACGTGGTTGCATTCCGGGTTTCGTTGAATCTGGCGTTATTATCTACGTAATAAGTAAATCAATATTTTATTTTGATATAAAAAGAAAAAAAAAGAAAAAAAAAGAAAAAAAAAAAGGAATTGATGATCCTTATAACGAAGATAAACAATTTACATAAGAATTCATCTGATATAATTATTATTATAATTTTAATTTAAAGACAAATTAATATATTAATAATATATTAATAAAATATTAATAATATTTATTATTTATGTTATTTATATAATAAGATGGTGATATTTATATAATAATAGTTATTATATAAACACCAATAATTAATAATATATTATTAATATATTAATAATTATATTAATTATTAATATAATTATTATATTAGTAAATTACCATTTTTAGTTAGTAATACTTATAAAGTAAAGTATTATTTTAATTATATAATTAATTATTATATAGTTACAATATAGTATTTATATAATGATAATTATTATATAAACACCAATAATTAATATAATATATTATATTAATTTATATAAAGGCATTATATAAAGACAAATTAATAATTTGTTTTATAAATAATTTAGGCTTAGTTGTCGGAGAAATAAGATCATTATGGTCAGATGGATTACTCGAGTATATATCAGATTTATGGAACATAGTGGACTTCATACAAAATACATTTTACGTTATATGGATAAGTATGAGAATGACTGCTTGGTTTATAGTACAGGTACGTTTTAATTATGATCCATATAATTGTTCGTTATATTCATAAATCATATTTTTCTTTTTATTAATCTAATTATTCAATTTCTTTCATTTATCAGTTAATTAATTAATTAATCTTTTTTGTTTCTTATTTTAAATACCATTTACTTGGTTTATAAATTTGTAATTTACATAGAGAGAATATTGGAGTGGTGAGGATCCTTGGTATCCAAGAGATAAATGGCATGCTTTCGATCCCATGCTTCTCTCAGAAGGAGCTTTTGCTGCTGGAATGATATTTAGGTAAATTCTTTTTTTTATTGATTATCACAATAAATTATTATTTGATTAATATTAGGTCGTCACAAAAGTCTCTTTTTAAAGTGAAAACTTTTTGAAGGTTTCACTTCTAACACGTGTGATCTGCATACATGTTTTTTAGTAATTCTACGGGCACAATATTTTTTAAGTTGAATAATTTAAAGTATAAAAAAAAGTAAAATAGATTAGAATCGATATTATTTAGTAAAATAACATAAAATACAAAAAAAAGTATATTAACACTTTAATGGCACAACATGTGTGTGATAGCCGGAATAACCTTTATTTATTTATAACTTCTTATATATTTATAATTATATAAAATTAAATTTGTTGTTTTTTTATGTTAATTTTTTCATAAATTTAATAAATTTTCTTTAAATTAATTTTTCAAAAATATTACCGGCTTCTGGCGACGTTTGACTGTGTAGATTTTCGGCCATTAAAGTGTTAAGCATCCAATATTGTTCAATTTATCACCAAAAAAAAGAAGAAATTTTCAGGACGACCTAATATATATATATATTATAGTTTATAAATTTTCTTTAAAATAATTCTTAAACGTTCCTAATATATTTACAGTTTCTTAAAACTCGTTCACATATTCAGCGTAAATCCACATCTCGGACCTTTACAAATATCTTTAGGCAGAATGATAATCGATATTATTAAATTCTTTTTCATCTATACTCTCGTACTATTCGCTTTTGGTTGTGGTATGAATCAATTAATGTGGTATTATGCTGATTTGGAAAAAATGAAATGTTATCATATGCCTAACGGATTACCAGATTTTGATAATCAAGAAAAAGCTTGCTCAATATGGCGAAGATTTGCTAAGTATAACAATGATATTTAAAGATCTTTCAAATAAGACCAAATATAATTTACCCTAAACGTATTTATTCGTGTATTTTTTTTCAGTCTTTTTGAAACGTCACAATCATTATTTTGGGCAAGTTTTGGTATGGTAGATTTGTTATCCTTCGATCTAACCGGAATCAAAAGTTTTACAAGATTTTGGGCTCTGCTTATGTTTGGTTCATATTCGGTTATCAACGTTATAGTCTTACTCAACATGTTAATTGCCATGATGTCAAACTCGTATCAAATTATTTCGGTATTGTTATAAAATAATAATTCTTAAATAAAGAATTATATTATTGAATTAAATGAACTTTGTTATTATTTTTAGGAAAGGGCTGATACAGAGTGGAAATTTGCAAGAAGTCATCTTTGGATGAGTTACTTTGAAGATGGTGACACCGTTCCACCACCATTTAATATGGTTCCCACGAGTAAATCTTTTGATAAAATTATTAAATGTGGTAAAGGTTCACGACCAACTCGATCCTTGATAGTAAGTTCATTTTCATAAACATTATTATAATAATAATGATAATAATGATAGATCAATATTTTGTTTTAGAAAAAATCACGAGAAAAAGCAATGACTAGACATGACACGGTGATGCGATTGCTTATTCGCCGTTACGTGACAGCGGAACAAAGAAAACGTGATGATTTTGGTATCACCGAGGACGACGTCATGGAAATTCGACAAGATATTTCAACATTACGATATGAATTAATCGACATTCTCCGACAAAATGGAATGCGAACACCGAATCTTGATAAACAGGATGCTGCATGTTGGTAGAAATTATTATAATAATGTTGATTATTTTGTTAGACTTTATACATTTATGCATATAGTATGTATCCGTATGTTGGATGTTTTACAAAGTTTCAAATGATTATAAAGAGTTAAAATAAGACAAAAAGAAAAAAAGTAACATTTATTTTGTTTAATGCACCAATTTGGAGAAAATTATATTTGAAAATTCTATGGTATATTTATTAATATTTAAAATATTATTTACATTATCTATGAAGATATTTTTCAAAGTGATGTCCTTGTTGATATATGTATGTATATTCTTATCCATTTTATTTAAAACGGAAGAATTGTTACTCGTTTTCTTTTACAAATAGAATCATCACCTTACCACTCAGTTGTATCACCTGTTTAGATACATTCTGTATGTATTCTTTTATCTATAAATATAAATGAATGTATATTTGTTTACAGTATCTGGTAAAAAGGGTCGTGTAATGGAACGTCGATTGCAAAAGGATTTCCAGATTGGAATAGTAGAAGGCATTGTCAATGCAGTTATCCAAGGAAATGAAAAGGAACCGAAAGATGTATTTAGTCAAATTGCTAAAGCAATAGGTCGTAGAAGCAGTGGTGGCAGTAAAAAGAAAGATTGGAATGCTGTTGTTCGACAAAACACATTTGCTAGGGATCCAATTGGTAGTTCGAATGAGGCATTTGCAAAACAAACGAGAAGAAGTTCTCGTAGAAATCGAGGCAATTCTAATTCCGATTTAGCATCCCTCGATCCTAATCGTTTGGTCGAATATAATCCTAATCTATCCGAAGTTACGCCTACTACGAGAATTGCTTATGCCAAATTCATGTTGAAACGAGTTAGGCATATCGATGAAGTTGAAAATGCGGAAGGTCAGTCAATAAAAAATACATACGGATATATATAAATTCAATTTTGTGCATGTAAAATGAAACTAAGAAACTTCTTTTAAGAACGACCTAATATCATCTTATTAGTACATCTAATTTTGTTGAGAATTAATAAAAAATTAAAAAATAATAATAATTAAATAGGAGCTGAAGGAGAAGGAGAAGAAAAAGGAGAAGGGAAGAGTGCAACTTCCTCTCAAAAGTCAAGTATGAAGGTAAAAGGTCCCGAGGGTGATCGTCCAAAGTTGATATTGTCAGAATCTTTGAAAAAAGGAATATTAAAATCAATGAGCGCTGGAAGTATCGATAAAACGGGTGATAAATTAACACCGGATGGAAAGGGGCCAGAATTTAGAGCACCAACGCCTATACCTGAAGATCCGAGAGAGGATGATGTCAGCAAAGCATCAGCTGAGGCACAGACCTCAGCGAGTAAGTCTAATAAAACTGATACGGATAAAGATAAAACACCTCAGAAAGAGTCAGCCAAAAATCAAAATGTCGATGATGCGAAGAAGAAAGAGATGGAAGAAAATAAGAAGAAAGAAGAGGAAGAAAAAAAGAAAAAGAAAGAGGAGGAAGAAAAAAAGAAAAAAGAGGAAACAGATAAAGTAGCATCGAAACCTTCTAAGGCACAAGAAGAAAATGTTCCAGTTGCTACAACTAAGTTACGTGGAAAATCTAAAGCAACTGGTCAAATTATGGGAGGCTGGATTTAAATATTTTCTTCAACAATTTTCTAAGAACTTGATAACATTAATGTACCAATATTTGTAATTTTCAAATAATTACTAACGTAATCTTTTTGAATTTCAATGATATCATTAACCGCATACGAATCGTTATCTTACAGCAGGCACAGTCAAAATATATTTCAGTTATAGATAATATTTATATTGTTTTGATGAAAAAAAGAAAAAGTATAGTTATATATAATATGATTCTAATGACACAAATATTTACAATTCCCCTTTTTCTCTTTCTCTCTCATTCTATAACTTCATGTTAAATTACTTTTCTCAATATCTATATTACACTATTGTCATTTAAAAATATTGTAAGTTTAAAAACTATGTAAATTCTCTAGTCGTAATGAATTTTTTGAAATCGTGTTTATTGTATAATATATTGTGTATGTAATAGTATTAGTTTTTAACACTAACAGTTTTTACGAACCCTTCACGAAGACTTATTTATTTTACCTTGTTGGATGTTCTGTCCAGTTTTTTATTTACTACTACATATTATACGGCAGTTGGACATGAAACAGTGAACGAGAAGGTAAATGATATGAACATCGTATTATATTGTAATATGCAGTGTTACTATTATGTATATATGTGTGTTGGCGTTACTCTGTGAAATGACTAGCTAAACCCATAAATAACTATACTGACCTGTTACAATATGCAGGTAGGGAGAATTACATACTTCAACTAGGTAATATATGAATTTATAAGAGGCGGGTAGTTATATGAAATTGAGATTTGATTTGTAGACCCGATAGAGCAGTACGACTAATAAAACATAGGTTTTCAAAGTACAGAGAAAATACAATAAAAATGTCTAGTTATTTCGAGTTAAACCTAGAATTTTCACGATTTTACTGAATTGTACAATTTAACACTGACATATATACATATATATGTATATTATATATGTATATTACAATCTTGACGATTTTGCTTTTCAACAATACATTGATTTATACAGTATGAAGTCTTAGCAGTATCTCTGTCTTATTATCACTAAAATATATTGCCCTTTTTATCTATTCAAAATAATTAGTATCTATTACATTATACCATACATATAAATATATCAACAAATATATTACACCACAGAGAATATACAAATAGTTATTACGAAGTAGAATACATGCAGAAGTACTACATACATACATGTATATAAGA